TATTTCTTTTACTTTCACTTACTTATATATGTAATATATAGTAAGGGTAAGTATTGCGATCGTGAAAATTTTCGAATCTCAGTTTTCAACGGAAATACATGTTTTGAGGTCCCCTGAGTTCAAACAACCAAGTGTCGCAAAATGGTCTGTGTGTCTGTGTCTGTGTGTGTGTTAGCAGACTAGCTCATAAACGAAAAGTAGTTTCGAAACTGATATTAAGTATTTAAGGTTTGTATATGAGCCGGATGTGACAGCAACTTTTTCGTTAAAATCGGCTAACCGGAAATGCCACTTTATATGAACGCTGAAACACATTTTTACAATTTTCTCAAAAACCACTCTAACGATTTTGATCAAACTCGGTGTATCATTGTATAATTAAGTGGTCTTTAATATAATTTAGGTCTTATCCCCGTTGATGTCACTTTACAGGGCTTAAATGCCCAATGTTCATATTTGTCTTCCTCTAAAGTACCTTTAAAATGTTTTTTTTTAAAAAGTTAAAAATTTCGCATTATTCAGAGTTACGAAAAAATGCTACATATAACTTTTGAAAGAAGTTGATAAATTAATAAAGGAGAAAAAAAAATGCAGAAAAACCTGCGTTCCTATAGACTGTAGCGCCTAAACGAATGTACCGATTTCAATGAAACTTTTTCTCTTTATTTATGTCATTATTTCTCTTTATGAAGTCATTTTCTCGATACCCTTTAAATTTATCTATATAACATACTTCAACGAAAAGAAGCTGGAAAGAAAGTTACGAGGGATGTTAAAATTAAATTCCGAATAACTCAAAAAGTATACGCTTTTATGTCGATATTGTATTGGTATTTTAAAAGTTTATAGAATTTCCTAAAAAAAAAAAAAAAAAAATCGTTAAAATCGGACAATTAGTAGGAAAGGTATGGTCTCTAGTTTTTTTCCTCTGAAGAGGTGAAAATTTGGATAAATTTAAAATATATTTTTTTAATTGTTGAGACTAAAAAAACATTTTTTCTACAGATATTTAATAAAGTGTTTTTCCTAAGAACATCTTTCATAAGAAAGTAGTACCTAAATTTATACTTTTATTCTCAGTTCTATATTTCAACACTGCAATCACCACCTCTGGGATCAACTTACTCATTGTCTGCATAGATCACTTTTTAAACTAAAAATATCACTAAAATGACATCACTCAAAAATGTTGAAATTGGAGTTAGTCATTCTGTGGTTTATAAAAGCAGATAGAGTGAATAGATTTTTATTGCCTTTCGTCGATATATTAAATAGACATTTTGTTGTAATTATAATGGTTTTGATGACATGTTATCTGTAAGCTTTAAGCTTTAGCTCCGTTTAAAATGGACTACAAAAATTTTTATAATAGCCCAGCATTGCCAGAAAGTAATTTCGATTCAAAGTAGATCGGTAAGTGAAAGTTGTGTGTTGCGCACACCAGATTTTTTTTATTTTGTTCGTAATTACAATATTTTGATTAAGATAAAAAAAAGTTACATTTAACAGTTTTTGGAAACTATCATTCAACAACGATTTTACAATATTCCTTTCAGTATTTTAAAACCTTTTTACAATGCTTTGTATGCCTTAATTAAGGGTGGGTTGTTGAGTGATGATTAGAGGTAATAAATTTTAAACGAGCATTCAGGTAAACTACTTAGGAAGCTGATTGTGTTGTTCTGTATAATTCGTTACCTCCAATAGCCGCTTCTCTAGATATTTACAATCGTTTGTTACTACGAAATTACTACATTTTTTTTGTACAAGTAACTTCATTGGTAGGGTAAGTCCCAATGTCATATAAAAGATTTTGAAGCTTGCATCATTCCAAGATTTATTTAATAAGTTTCTTCTTATTTAACTTAAAGATTTTTTTATTAAACACTATTACAAGGTCGTATGGAACTTTCCTGTTAGGGGAGACAAGGCTGAATAAAAGCAAATCTCAAGTAGATAGATAAATAATTTCAAACTATAATTTGGTATTACAATTCACAACTATCTTTTCATAAAACTTATATGATGATGGTAAGGCTAAGGATTTTTGAAACGGTACACACTGGGACAAGCTAACATATACAAATATATATTTGTATATAATACATAATACTCTTCATTCATATTCATATATACAAACGCTACGCGGTTGGACATCGGGCGAAAAAACCAAAGTTACAATTTTTAAGTTTTACTGCAGTAGTGACAAACTAATATCGTTTCCTCTTCATGTCCAGTAATTTTCAACTCAATCATCGCATTAATAATGCCCAGATGTAAAATAGTAGTATAAGAAATGAAAACCTTGTACTTAACCTTGAGAATCTTTTTTGTATTTAGAGCTGGTTTGATGGAATATTTTGTTCAAACTTAACGGTATGTGGTGGGAAGAATTAGGTATTTCTTGTGAATCCTAAGACAGCTGAAACATCATTTGTATATTTTTATATACAAACAAACATTTTTATAAATAAGCATAGTTGTTATGACGTTCAAACAATTGCAAGTAATGCTGGTCCATTTCGCAAATCGCCCGGTATACCCTATTGTTAACAAAGGTTTGAACTTCTAAAAACAGTTTTGAGACCTTGCCCCAACCTATCACCTAAAAAGTTATTGACAATTGTATATTATTTAGTCAAAACGTGGGCTGATAGTTACTCGAACCGACTAGTAAAAACAATTAAATAAATAAAAAGTAATGGTAGTTCCAACGTATTAGATTCTCAATAACTTCCGGTATGATAGGTTGGGGCAAGGTCTGAAAACTGTTTTTAAAAGTTGAAATCTCTGTTAACAATAGGGTATATCTTGTTTTTCGAGCGATTTCTGGCGATTTGGGAAATGGACAAAAAATAACGGCAAACCAGCTCTAAATATAAAAAATATGCTTTTCATTTCTTCTCCTATTTTCTAATATGAGTTTTCAACGGAAATACATGATGTGAGGTCTCTTGAGTCCAAATAACCAAGTCCCGCAAAATGGTCTGTGTGTGTGTGCGTGCGTGTGTCTGTACGTATGTGATGCATCTAGCTCAAAAACGATAAATTGTATAAATGTGAAATTTCATATTTAAGGTTTGTATATACCTGAGATATTACAGCAACTTTTTCGTCAAAATCGGCTGACCGGAAGTGGCACTTTATATATTCCATGATACACATTTTTACTATTTTCTCGAAATCGGCTTCAACGATTTTGATTAAATCCATTGTATCAGAGTAACATTAAGCAAGGTTTTATTCTCATTGATGTTCTCTTACGGGGCTTGAACGGCTAATTTCAATATTAGCTTCCTCTAAAGTACCTTAATTTTTGTTTTATTTGAAACAATTAACCATTTCACATTGATCTCTAATAAAAAAAATTAAATATAAAATATGAAAGAATTTGATAATTAACTAAAGGAGAAATATGAGATCGTAACAGAGAATAGTTGTAATGGAAGAACCAAAGGGCCCAGCCTAGCTCACCCGAAGATTAGAACAGGCTTCCATATGTAACATGAGCATAATAAAATACGGACTCGGACAATATTATGTCCTTATACATATGCGGTTTTCCTAAATGTTTTCGTTGTTATTATTATTTTTTTTTATTTTATAGATTACAGCGATATAAATATTAAAATTTGTATATAGAATAGAATAGAAATCTTATATATATATATATATATATATAAGGGTAAAAAAAACAAAAAACATCCACAATGAAATGTAAATAAATATAGCGTTTATAATTTTTATTTTCACTTCACCTTTGTTTGAAAATACTTATTTCTGATAAGAAGAGGGTGGTAAGTGAAAGTTGTGTGGTGAGCGCACCGCATCACATTTTTTATCTGTTATTTATTTATTTCAATTCCAAACAAAACCCTAACTCTCAGATATTACTACAAAAAATTCACAAATCAATAGACAAACTAGAAGATTACTTTGTAATTACAACGCTGCTTTAAAAAATTATTATTAAATATGTTCTCCTAAAGAGAAGTGAATTTAAATTATGGAACTATACTTGAGCTGAAGTATCTAAAAGACTAGAAGAAATTTAATGATTCCTTATTTATAGTTAATTTAAATTATGTTTTGCTTTAAGAAAGGATTAGGGGAATGAGTACTGCTCTTGTTTCCCAGAGTAGTAATTCCTATTTAGTGTCATGGATTTTATTTCCTCTGCCAAGGATTACTTCCTCATAAAAAAATTACTCTACATTATTTCCCCTTAAGTATCAGGAGTGTAATTAAGTTTTAAATGATTAAAATTAGGTACCAAGAGTATTAAATTGCATCGAACCATAATCTAATCAACTTCATTGAATTTGCCGATAAAACGCTATTTGCGAAAGCTTTACTTTTCTGCTTTCATCTGAAGAAAAAAATCATCTGAATGTCGTCAATTGCTTTTAATACTTATAGCTACCATTCTCCATCAATTTTAACTTAGTAATACTGGTTTAGAGGGTTCAGAAGAGTAGTCTATTGACATGGAAGGTAAGGAACATGAAGGATGTTTAGAAAAGTTTAAAGATGAAGTTGAATGAAGATTAGGGTCAAATAAAAGAAAACTATTCGAAAGTGACTTGACAAGTGGTTTTATAATGCATCAAATCAATGATCTAAAAGGAAATTGTCTGGAAACTGTCTCTTTCCTCTGTATTTAATGTATGGAGATACCTAATATATTCAATTGTTTTGTTCAGATATTTTCAAGTATATCCATGTACGTAAAAACAAACATACAAATAAATTTGAAGTTTATTTTCGAATAGTTATGTTGAATTTTTATACATGATATAAACTCCCACCATTTTTTTTTTTTTTTTGGTCCTTCAAACCCCCAATAAAGATGTTTTTTTGATGAATTAGGTGTAATGCACCTAAAGCTTCTTTCAGTGATAGTAATAAACAAGAATAAAATATACAGTTAGCTGATATGTATAATTTGTATTTAAATACAGATTGTTTGTCTCGAAAATAATAATAAAAACTGTTTTCAGGGAACAACTTTTCCTGCTCTCAGCACTCTCCTATCGCAGTGGGCACCACCACTGGAAAGGGCTAAATTAGGTTCCCTTGTTTTCGCTGGTAAGCAATCACTAATTTATTTTAAATACTAGTTATTATTTTAAATGCTACTTTAGTCAATCAATTTCTCTTCTAAGAACATTTTTTTGTTTTTTAAATTGAACTTGTTAGTAGTGGATTTCATGATTCAGTGATCAAACTATCTCGTATCATCATTACATTTAAACATTCTTTAAAAAATAAAGAGTCATTTTTTCTTCTTATAGAGGAAAATTAGGAAGGAGTATAAATTGAATTTCCAAAAAAAACAGTTTTTTTTGTAAATATTACAAGTATATTAAGATTAAGATTTTAAAAAATCTGAAATATTTTTAACATAGAGTCTGTTTAGTTTCTCAATCACTGCTGACAAATTTATGTTTAATTTAATGATAACAAATTGTTATATTCATTTAATTCAGATTCCTGTTTATTCCATAAAGAAACATATTGCAACCCACTCCTTACTCTTTATTCACTTTTCACCAATAAAATTTGACAAAATTAATGTAGGACTAAGCCAACAGAGGCACAAGTTTAGTTTAGTTTTCTGAACACATTCCGCAATATTCAGGACACAAAAAAGAAATATTGATTTTAGAGAATATTTCTAGACCTTACTAGCATTTACTTCTCTATGATACAAAACTATTATTGATAAAAATTCAATGTTTAATTAAGTGTAGAAGATAGAAACTATTGTGTTACGTTATAATTTGTCTCCAAAATGTAGGCAAAGAAAACAAACCTGTCAGTGTTTCGCCTATTTAGGCATCAGGACCAAAAATATGAATATTTGTTTGGGTGTCATGGTCTGATGTTCATTTAGCTGTTCTTTCTTGGTCCTGATAATGCTTGAATTGGCGAAATGTTGACACGTTTGTTTTCTTTGTCTACATTTTGAAGAAGTAAGGCTGTGTGGTTTGGAATTTTTTCAAAATTATAACTTAACATTTATGTTTTGTCTCCTGATTAGTTTGTTACAGATTAATATTAATAAAAACTATCTTAAGTTGTGAATAAAGGTAATACATAAATATACAAAGTAAACAGAAAATAATTTTAATTCAAATAAAAACATATTTGAACTGCAGACAGTTAGTTTGTTGATCCATGATTTGAATCAGGAATTAAATAAAGTTATACTGCCAACTTTCAAAATGTATAGTGAATCATTGCCTTGATTATAAAAATATTATTAATTACTGTCAAGGAAAAAATCACAAAAATAAAAACCAGATAAAATTCTATTATTGTACAGGATTGGCTATTTCTTGTTAAATAATATCGTTTTTAATTTTTTATTCTGATAGAAAAGTATCTATAGTTTATGAGTATATCTTTTTCATCAAATCTAATTACAAGTTTAGCTTATTTATTTCTAGAATCATCTACATTTTTATACTTTGCGTAATAAAGTCTAAACATTTCTCTGAATTTTGATAATATATTTTAATATACTAGAGACTTTTCAGATTACGATCAATTGAGACCCATGTAGCTTTTTTTTACCCCCACCACCTTTCTTTTTCACCCTCTTTTCTGGTATGGGGGAGGAGAGAGAGGGGTTGTCCTAAAGGTACATCTATTCCAAGTAGAGTGTGTGATAGTCAAGATTTATTCGATGGAATAAATTTTAACCCACCTATGCCTGATTCAGTGCCACTTGGCTTGACAATACGGCAAACCTTAACCAGAGGTTGATACTTTTATAGAACTTTTTAAAAATATCCATTTTAACAGTTTCTGTGAAACTTCGTAAGGAACTTTTTTGTGATAAAGTTTCAGGTTTATGCTAAAAGTTTAACTTTTATTTATACAAGTTACTAAAACAATTGTGTGGCTTGTTAGAGTAGCTGGGAATAAAGATAATTTTTTAGATTGACTTTTAAGCAAAGGTGACAGAACTTTTATATAAATGTTTTTAAAACAAAAATTCTGTTAAACCTTAACTTGAAAAATTACAAGGGAAAAAGTTCTAGTCCCAAAAGAAGTGACAAAATATTGACAATAAAAATTCTGATGATACTGAAACTTTTTAAAAATAAAATAACAATCTCTAATAAACTAGTAAGTGGAAGAGGATTATTTAGGATACAGATGAAGATGAACTCAGGTTATCCTGCTGTCATTTTGTGGTTATAAGTAATATAGATGTTCCCAGATTATTGGGTCTCAGCTCCTCAAGTGGACGCGGATCCTTATCAAAAGTTTTCGAAAATTGATAGAACACTTATAGCCATTGCTCCAATTAAGGCATATCTAAGACATCACACATTAATAGATCACTGAGGACCAACCTGTTGAGAAAAGTGATAATGATCAACTCACTACACTTTTGTATTCAGAAAGTGCAAGATTGCTAGTTGAATTCGGAAGAAGAGAAAAGGAGCTATAACAAAGAGGCACTTAAGAGGACGACAGGGATCTTGGACATTTTAATGGAAGAAAACGAATAAGGAATTATTTATAGAAGAGAAGAGAATAAATAAATAAATTGCAGGAATGGCACACATGCATCTCTAATTTAATATAAAATAATACTTCGGTACAGTCAGAACTCTTTCATAAAAAGCAGGGAAGGGTGGATAAAATTATTAAATTGAAGTAATTATAACAGATTGTTACAATATCTATGTGATGTGTCATTTTCTTTTGGTTCCTACCAGCAATAATTTTTTTTATTACTATATGCATTCATGGATATGAAACAAGATACTACATGGTACTGTTGATTGTTAAAAATTAAAAAATATTTTATGAATCAATGTTAATTTTTTGTCACATCATCTATGAATATTATTTATTTTTTCCTCTTTTTCTTATTCTACTGAATTAAAATTAAATAAAATCTTTTTTGTTTAAGTTAATATGTGCTGAAAGGAGAAATTATTTGGTCAATAGTAGTCTGTTTCCTTCATCTCCTCTAATATTTGCTTGTAGTTAGCATAATTTTTTTTCAGACTCAGATGTCTGTTGGACTTAACATTATCCTATACTCCTACTGAAGGGGTGAATGAAAAATCGGAGATATAAATTACCAAATTATTTATCTACCACAAAATAAATATTAAAACTTGACAGTAACCAACCTGTTCAGCTAGGTATCATTTTGATAAATTTATTAGTTCTCAATATAATTTAAAATAGTTATTTTTAGAAAAATAAATTAGAGATATGCTTTTTATCTATGAGTTAAAGTGTTGTTAGGCTTGTGTAGGTGTCCAAATCGGAACTGTGCTGGCATCAGCTATTTCTGGTTTTATCCTTCAGTACTTCCACTGGCCAGCAGTCTTCTATGTCTGGGGAGGAGTTGGTATGGTTTGGTTTCTCCTCTGGTGCCTGTTGTGCTACAATGATCCTTCGTCACACCCTTTTATATCTGAAAAAGAAAAGGAGTACCTTTCTAAGACAATAGGGGCTACAGAAAGGGATAAGGTATGTTTTGATAAATGCAAAGTTGGAAGTCATTTGACACTATATTAATGTTGTTGTTTTTTTTTCAAAAATTAAAAAAAAAATATAAATATTCCACTTTTAAACATTTTTTTATTTCCTCTTGGATTTCATTTTGTATAACTATTGTAGACCACCAGGTTACAAAAAAATTACCGATTTAGTCTTTATGAAATATTTTGGACCATCATTGCAAGATTACCAAACCAATATGTTAGTTATTTCCTAATCAAACAATATAAATAAATAGATACAAATAAAGACCCAAATATGAAATAACTAAAAAAAAAAAATATCAAATGATATTTCATATATTTCAGTTCGTTAAGAAAATAAAATTATTTATTTTTAATTATGAAATAATAGTTGATTATGACTTCGTTAAAAAACATCTAAATGAAAAAGACAATTACAAAAATTATTATTTGAATGCATATAAACTTTTTTTGATTATTAACAAAGTGAAAATAATTTATATTATAATTATTAATTTTATTTTATGTTATTCAGGATGTGGGAGGAACACCTTGGATTGCAATTTTGAAATCACCAGCTGTTTGGTCCTTGACTATCGCTGAGATGGGACATGACTGGGGACTTTACACAATGGTTACTGATCTTCCGAAATATATGAATGATGTCATGCACTTCAATATATCCCAGGTGACTATAAAATATGAACACATCAAACAATTTCTCTGGTACTATTGCTTTCCAGTTTTCTCTATGCAGTTTTGTTGATTTGATCTATCCTTCTGATTTTTGGCCTCACATATAGTCTCTTGGTTCCAATCTTTTCCCTCTTAGCATACCCAAGCAGTCTCCGTCCCCAATCAAATGCTTTCTGCCTATCTTTCTTTATCCTCTGGATTCAGGGTTCAAGTGTATCTCCTATTCTTATCAGCTCATATATTGACCTACATGAATCAATCCTTCATTGTTCTCAACATCTCTTTGCAAACAACTCTCAAATATACCTTTCCTTTAAATCTTTTGGTTTATTAGAGTTTGCCAAGATTCAAGAATACTTAGATCAATTCAGCACCTGAGAAAACTCAAACGGATGAAGGTTAAATGCTGCTAAAATGCAGGCCATTGTCATTGGTTCCAAACTACTTCTTGGATCCCACACCAATTTTCCCATATAATACCTAAGTGACCAGTCAATTACCTTCCATTCCTATGTTAAACATTTAGGTTTTTTTCATTTATCAAACTCTCTTCTGGAATCACCATATTTCTTTTATCTTCTGACAGCCAATTTCTACTTTCAAACTTCCACCATCTTTTACCCCAACATACAGGCAGATTCCTGGTTTCCTCCCACATCTTTCCGATCTTTGACTATAGCTATGTGTTGTAGCTTCGTAAGATTTGTAATTGGAACTCTAAGACATTCTTGTGTTTACCACCACTATATTGAGTTAGGGTGGCCCTTCTCCTCCTTTCAAAGACAATATTTCCTCAGCATATTCCTTAATCAAATCATCAACAATCGTTGTTCTTCTTATCTCTACAACCTTCTCCAAATCAAATCCTCAGTCCATTCTTATTAATCTCGCAATACCGTGACAACATACATGTATTCCATGTAATTTATTATTAAATAGATAAATAGAGATGTTCCACTCAATGCATCTATTTTCATTATTATTATTTTTTTATGTACAATTATAATCTTACTCATCTTAAATTTATCTAAGATTAAATAGTATTAAATTTACATATCTTTAATTTAATTTTAATTTTGGTTTTCTCAAAGTTAATGCTTATTTATTAGAAGAATCCAATTTTTTTTATTCTATCCTTTTTCTAGAAGTGAATAGCATTACCATTTTTGATGAATGTTGCACATAATTTAAAGGATTTGTTCATAGTTTTAAGTGTTTTGTACATAGTTTTATTTGTTTTGTATATGACAGGTTTACTTAATGTTTAATGTATCAAGCCTTTTGTCCAGAATTAATTAATGAAGTTTAAATAAATCAATAAATTTTATTTTTTAATAAGGATCTTAAATAAGGATTTGAACTCATTAGTGCTTAATCAATTCCTAGCAACGTTTCTCCTTTGGTTTGTTTGGAGATGAATCTTCACATAAATACATTTACTTGGGATGAAAAAATAACTTTATTCTGTGATTATCATTTGTTTGTAAATTAATTTAACATATATATAATTTAAAGTCTCACAATGCTCTTTTAGCTACATCTTATCTGTTATTTCGGTATGTACATTAATTGTACTTTTGCTAAATGTTTTTCACAAATTCTGAGTTTTTCCTCAATAATCAAGAGCTTAAAAATTAAAAACGAAATCTTTTCATAATGTTTTACTTCTTGACATTAGTTAAAAATTCTCAGGCATAGTGTATATTCAGCTAGATGTTGTACATAGTTTGACATCTCATGTATATTTATATATATATATAAAGTAGGGACCAAAAACTTGTTTCACTATGAGTGAGATGACACTTAGGCAAATCATAATTTTCTTATGTCTAAGGCTTAAATAAATATATTTGTATATATTGAAGTAAACTGTTTTGCTAATATCATCTCAAAACATCACATTTGAAATATGTTATATTGATTTACTATTATTATTTTTATTACAATGAATTTTTCTTTTCCAGAATGGAGTTTTGTCAGCACTACCATATCTTGTCATGTGGCTGGTTTCAATTTTGCTTGGGTATATGGCAGATAAAATTCAACAACGAAAGATAATAGGAATCACTAACCTCAGAAAAATTTTGGCAACAATAGGTATGTCTAATTCAATTAAAGACAGAGGAAAGAGGTTTTATTACTGTCCACTTTATTTCATATAATAACATGAAAGTTTAAAAAATAATAATTAAAAAATAGACTGCTTCCTTTGTTTTGAAACTAAAACAAACAATTTTTTTTACGTATTATTCGTAAATAATTAGACCTTTATAGTCTCAATTAATAAAATAATTTATTGTAAAATTATCCAAATCTTATTCGGTGTGTACTGGACTAGGTGTGCAAGGTTGGTCACCACTATACGCAAATAGGTTTCGTTTAATTTATGTTTGTGTTATATGGCTGGTTGTAATTATTTTTAATGCTTTTAATGATTTTTTAAAAAATGATTAGTGTCTACCAGTAAATCCTCTGATAGAGTTTTTAATACATATTTTTCAGATGTAAATTTAAATAAGGTTTTAACATCTGATTGTATCACTTCTGGCGTAGTGACAAAAATTTGGATAATTTTACAATAAATTATTTTATTCATTGAGCCTATAAAGGCCTAATTACTTAGTTATAAAAAATCTCTTTATCATTATTTACTTTTTCATTACTTACAAAAATGTTCAGACTATACGTCAGAACACATTTTTGAACTTGAAATCTGATTATTTGTTGAGAAATAAGGCACTTAGACATTAATAAACAAGGAAGTATTTCTATATGTAGGTATCTCTACCAGGCCGATAATAAAAAAAAAATTGTGAATAATCCATGACTTCATGAAAAACAGAACATAAAATAGTTAAACCAGTTCAAAGTTCCCTTTAAATGTTTTAAAAAAACTAATTTCATTGCAAGGAAAATTTCTCTACTTTACAATGAAGCAATTGTTAATTACCTAAATTAAATATGTTTTTAGATATTACTTCCTAATCAACATGAACTGTGACCTATTTAAAAAAAAAAAAAAAAAAAAAAATTTCTTGCTTTCTGTGTTATAATCGGATCATTTTTCATAAACTTGTTTGTAGCTCTTGAAATCTACTATCACTTCTTTAATGATTTTCATTTAATAAGAGATCCTGTTTGTTACCTTGTTAATTAATTAAAGTAATAAATTGTAGAAATTTTAATTCAGATAATGGAGGGAACACCCTCATGTTGAGAAAAAAATTATGTAAAAAGCACTTTTAAAATTATCTAACTCTAAAATTATTTTTACCTTGATTTTAATTAATTCTTATCGTAGGTGCTATTGGACCAGCTGTTGGTGTTATTCTGGCATCATATGCAGGCTGTGATAAAACATTGGTTGCTGTACTTTTCACCATTGGAATGGGTTTCATGGGTTTTTGTTATGCCAGCCTTCGAGTCAATTCCCTTGACTTGAGCCCTAACTTTTCTGGAACTATAATGGCTATTGTAAATGGATTAGGTTCCATTTCTGGAATGGTTGCACCAGTACTTTTGGGAGCATTAACCCCAAATGTAAGTGAAATCATTTATGAGTGGTTGGATTTTCATATAACGAGTTGGAAATATCAACTTTGTTCTGGGACCTATCTTTATAATGCTGAATTAAATATTTTTATTTATTTATTATTATTATCTATTTAGTTAAGTATTTTAAGGTATTTTCATGGAGAAGAATTTAAAACAAATCAGAAATGAATATTAATGCTTCCAAGTATTGCTATGGAGTAAATCATGTTATTTAATAGTCCTCACCCTTCTTCCATTTTAGAAATATTTCAATTTTAAATGATTTTTCTAACAATTATGGCTTACTTAATTTTTCATTTTTCAAAGTATCGAAGGGAAGTTTTATTAGTCGAAGTTATTAATGCTATAATTATACAAGTGATTTATTGGTTACCTTATTTGTATTCTCTGAATGTGTATCAACCATTCTATAATTAACAAAATTCCTTCCTGTCCACTCACTTTATTTTTTTATATGCTTAGCGATGAGTGAACTAATTTTTTTTTGTTTCAACATGTCTGATAAGATTTATACATGGCGTGTTGATAATATTTATTAAGCAGTAGCTCTTTCATTTAGATACCACCTTACTCTTAAAAGGTTCAGTCCCTCAAAAAAAATTACGTAATTCAAACAGTTACATAAAATAATAGCCAACAGTGTCAGTACAGTCAACTCCTCCTAGAAAAAAAAGAAACAGTTACGAAATAAAAATGATATAGTACATTCGAATTATATCATTCTATGTCAGGCACTATATGCACTATACTGAAAGCACTTTACAAATAATAATGAATAATGACATGGCCTTTATGTACTGTCTTTTAAATCCAAACATGCAAGGCTTGTTTAACACAATATTTGTTTTGGGTTTGAGGGATAACATATAAATAAATACACATATGCATGAACAATCAGTTCAAAATCCACTTTATTTTTTTAAAGTAGAGTAAATTGTAAAATAAAACATCAATTCATAGATCAGCATAGTTTTCAATTAACAACAAGCCAAGGGATAAATCCAATGTGTTGGCATTATTTTCAGCGGCTGAATATTGCTACCTAATTATTTATTAGGTCAGTCTTTATCAGTCTTTATTCTTTATTGTTAACATCAAAACCCATTGTATAAACTCTAAAAAGCTGAGTATATCAGTAAAAAAATTTCTAATATTACTTTTATTCATAAATTGAATTTAACGTTCTATAATAATTTTTTCTATTCAATGTTCTTTTATTTCAAAAAATGGCAAAATATCATATTTTTGATCAACATAAAATTAAAATTTTGCATCAATAAAAACTTTCAATCAGGGAAAATCAAAAAGAAGTTGAAGGCACTAATTTTGAAATTCATTATGTATCTTTTTATATATATATATATATATATGTATAAAAACAAGCAGAATGGAAACAAAAACTGCCAGACAGATCTAAGAAATAGTATACAACTACTGATGGACAACAATTAAAATTATTTTTGATGGCACAACTGCTAAAAATCAAACAGAGAACTGGCTCAGGAAATAGCTGATACTGCTAGAACCCAAGGAAACTCCTATCATTAGGCCTTAAAGGTTGTGTTCCCTGAAGAAAACTATTTCTTTGGCCTCTTAACTTGCAAAAGCGACTTAAGTTTGCTAAGAAACATTAAAATTGGATGAAAGAAGAATGGAACAAATTTTTATGGAGAGATGAGTCAAAATTTAAAATGTTTGGTTCCGGAACAAGGAAGGATGAAGATCTGGATTAGAGAAAATCTGGAGTGGAATTTTCCAATGAATGTTTGCAACCAACAGTAGAACATGGAGGTGGCTTTTTAATGGTTGGGAGTGTTTCTGGATCTGGAGTTGGATACCTCTAATGACTAGATGGAAAAACTGGATGCAACAGTATCGTAGGATTATTATGTACCATGCAATACCATCTGGGATTAAACTGATTGGGTAGAACTTTATTTTTCAACAAGACAATAAAAATGACGATATGGATTGCCATTTTTAAAAAATAAATGTAACATTAAATAGAAAATTAAATTTTAAAAATGGAGACTTCCAATTTTAGAACAATTTTTACAGATACATTCAGCTTCCTAGTGTTTATACAAAGGTTCTTGATGTTAGAAATAAAGAATAATGTCTGAATTGGATAAAAAAGTAATGAAATTTAAACAATAAGGTAGCAATATCCAGCTCCTGAAAATAACAACTTGATTGGTTTCTTGGCTTGTTAATTGACAATAATTCTAATTTAAATACACATTACATCTACAATGTGTTAAATGTTAAATCATTTTACAATTAAGAAGATAAAATCACTTTTAAATGTAAACCTTTATCATTTTTATAAAAAATTGGTATGTTTGAAGACTTTTTCATACTACTTTATATAATAATGTGATTTCAATATATCACATTAGTAAAACAAGAAACTACTTTGAATGGTAATATTGTTTTTAACTTCATAGATAACCTCTACTTGTTTTCTAAACACCTTAAAGGGAATTACATCTAAAATTGAAGGTTTTTAAGTGCACTATGATTTCTTGAAGGTTTTCAAGTGCACTATGATTTCAAGCTTTTTATTATATCTTTAAGCATTAACTCCACATTTATTAAATGGATAATAATTCTCAGCTTTTTACAGTTTTATTGTACATTGTGGAATAAATCGTTGTACTTAATGTTGTCTAATAGTTATTAACGCATTTGCAGAAATCACTTTTGGAATGGAGGGTAGTATTTTGGATCATGTTTGGCATACTGAATGGAACTAATGTCCTATTTATAATGTTTGGTTCTGGAGAAGTTCAACCATGGAATGAGCCTAAAGAAAAGGAGGACACAAAACTAGATGAAATGTAACTTTCTGATGTAATATATGTTTGTAAATATGTAATTATAATCAAAAGCAGTGGAAAAGTTTTAATTTTGTATAGTATTTATTGTAAAGTATGTCAAAAAAGATGAATTTATTATTACTATTAAGAATAAATTAATTGTTAAGTATTGTTTTTTCAAATCCATTTTCAATTTTTTTTAAAGTTAAAGTATATATTTAAAAATAGGCGAATTTATTACAAATCTAAAGAATAAAATTATTCCTCAAGAATTGTACCTTTTTATTATTAATCATACCATAACATTTTGAAAGATAAAGTCAATTTTTTTTTACTCAATTACTTTCTATTTTTACCCCATCTCCTCAGAACTCATATAATCAAATATATTCAAAGAATTAATGTTAAAAATAATATTATGGTAATATCTATTTGTTGTATAACTAGTTGCATCTACAAAAAAAAAAAAATAATAAAGAAACAATTATGTTGTCATAGGTTTAATAAAAATTGGATGTCTGCATCACACAACTTTCACTCACCACTCTGCTTTGAATAAAAATTATTTTCTGGTAATGTTGGGCTATTAAAAAGTTTTTGAAATGCATTCTTAATGGAGCTAAATCTTAAACTTTACAGCTAGCCTGTAACAACTTATTAAGACCATTAAAATAACCCAAATCCTATTACATCGTTGGTAGACAGTAAAAACCTCGTAATTCCATCTGTTTTTTTAAACAACACTGCTCCAGTCTCTGAGCTATATATGCCTTGAGAGATTTGAAAGTATGTGTGAATATTTAACCTGTAAATGATTATGGATTATTATAAATTCTATTAAATTTAGTAAATTAATATTTAAATAAGAAGGTTTATAGAGTGCTACCAAAGGGGAGTTTCTCAACAACCGTGTTTCATGTTAGTATATTCCTCTGTACACATTTACTTAATGTATTCATACTAATACAGTTGTAAATATCATAATAAAAGTTAAAAAAAAAAAAAAATAAGAAGGAGTTGGTGGAAGGTTGCGGTCAAATAAATATTAAGTTTTAAAAATAGTATTTTATTCATTACGCCCACATTTCAACCCAATTTGTACGTATTTTCATCAGGGCATGATATCAGGCACTGCAGGAAGCAGTTGGTAGCTAATTTGAAGGTTTATGTGCCATTGAGGAGTTATGTGCCATACTGCTCTCTGAAGGTAGCTACCAACTGGTATACTGCAGTGCCAGTTACCACGCCCTGATAAAGACCTACTAAGTGGGTCGAAACATCAGGGTAACGAATAAAATACTATTTTAACAATTTAGTATTTATTTGACTGCCCCCGCCCGACCAAGGAAAGGCAGGACTCTAGAAGATCCCAGTATCCCTCACTCAGCTGCATTACTGGTATTACAGACCAGTAGAAGCTAAGAAGAGAAACTTTAACCACACATACATGGCTTGAGTAGATAATCTGGCCATTGCCAAAACTCCAATATATACTTATTCACAAGAGGTCTCTGGGCTACTGCCCCTTCAACCTTGGTAATGTTATGGTGAAATTTGGAGAATTTTTCTGGGACAAGGTCTAGGACAAATGAGATATTAAGGTCATGGTGTAGGGTTTTGTTGGTTACATAGAATGGAGCATCAAATATTGACTTTAGATTGAATGCGTTTGATGTTAGAAAATTTTGCTGTCCCCCACAGTTAAAGTCCATATGTCCACAGAGGTTTCTGGATTGTCTTGTAGATATGTAATTTGTTTTCAATAGAAAGTTTATATTTTCTGTTTAGTAGTCTGTATAGCTGACCGTATCGTTGGTTGAGTTCTTGTCTTTTATGTCTAGTATGTGGGATTTAATCTGGGAAGAAGAGAAGGAAGCTAAGATAACCTGCAGCTGCTCCGAAGATCGGCTTCATGGAATGGAGAAAAGAAAAGTGACGTTTGTGGGCTTGAGCACACAAACAAGTCTTCACCTCATAAGGAATAATGTTAACAAATTTTAATAGACCTACACAGCCAGCAGTGGAATACGCATACTGCTGCTACAACCCGTATTGCCAATAAGGCAAGGCGGGGAGAAAGAAAAAAAAAAAGGCTAGTATGTGGGTTCCATGCAAGTATTCGGTCTAAAAGAAAGCCAAGATACCGGACTGTGTCTGAGAAAGGAAGCTGAATGGAGGTAAAATGTACTAGTAAAAACTGGAACCTTTAAATCAACGAGGAAGCTTATTATTTACATTTACAGTCCAACCTGCCCATCACTGGGTCTCTTATCTATAACTGGTACGTTCACTATACTGTTCTTTTTTACTTCACTTATCTAAATATGAAATATATAGTAAGGGACAGTATTGCGATCGTGACAATTTTCGAATCTGAATTTTCAACTGAAATGCATGTTTTGAGGTCTCCTGATTCCAAATAACGAAGTCCCGCAAAATGGCCTGGGTGCGTATGTATGTGACCATTCTAGCTCGAAAACGAAAAGTCTTATGAAAGTGAAATTGCATATTTAAGGTTTGTATATACCTGAGATGTTACAGCAACTTTTTCGTCAAAATCGTCTGACCGGAAGTGGCACTTTATATAATCGATGTTACACATTTTTACGGTTTTCCCAAAAACGGCTATAGCGATTTTGATCAAACTAAGTATATCAGTGTTTCTCTCGTTGTTAAGAGTTATGAAAAAAGGCTCAATATAACTTTTGAAAGACAAAAAAGAAAAAGAAAAACAAGGAAATTGAAAGGAAATAAAACATTGAAATAGTTTTTTTTTTCTTGGGTAAAATTCAAAGATGAATAGCATTTGTAAATGCTATCATTAACACTGAATCTCAATGAAATTCACTTGCGATGATTGGTCCAATAATATAAATAATAAGATTCACATAAATTTTATGTTATTTTTCTTGAATGATGGTTAATTGACTCTATTCAGTTAAATTAGAATTGAAGCCGTAATAGGGCATTTACTAAGGAGAACTACAATAATTGCATGGCTGCTCAACTGCGCTGAGTTGCTAAATCACACAGCATAACCATCAGTCCAAGATATATTATTTAAAATCAGAATAAAAAAGCTAGTTGGGACTATTTCACCGAAGCAAATATTACAAAAGACCAGTGTTCAGAAACGAACAAGCGTAGGCATAGCTTAGTATACGTGGTGATGGAGGATCTCCACTAAGTCCAAAATAATAGTCTCCGTCATTATCTCCATCTGCTCCCTTACAATCCCGATTTCCTGCAATAAATCACTTGTAGAATGAGGAATGCTTCCCCTACTTCGGAACCATAATCCTTTAACTGAAAAGTTTCTCCCTCCGAATTCATATTTTTCTTTAAGTAGGATATACATTTTTCTTCTTTCTCTGTATGCACCATATAGCCCTGGTCCTGGTCGTTCGTTTCAAACCTGATCATGAGATCCACTATAAGGGCATCCTTTTCTGTTGCGCTAAACGTTAAAATGTCAAACCATCTTGCAGAGCCTTCTGTATCTAGATAATAGACTTCAAAGAAACATCTTATGTTGTTCGTTTTCAGGAGTTCGAATAGCAGTTTCTTTATATTATTGTGCCATCGTATAATAAGGAGCATGTTGTTTGGACATTTCTTCAATAAATGAGCTGGGGTTTCTGATTCTCTGAGTGGTCCAACATCTCCGGTTCCTTGTACTCCGCGAAGAGTGTAATCGACGTTCAATTTCATAGCATTTGGCTATTCTGAGTCTGTGAAAACTTTCCTATCGTAAATAAATTTATTGGCCCAAGGGTTCGATTTAAAAAGACACACCAATTTCCTGACACATAAATTTACTCCATTCACCAGAGGATTTTTCTTTCAGGGATTGCCAAATACTCCTGACTGATAGTGAGGCTTCTGTATTATTTGTTTTAATGCCTAACAGATCATCACACCTTCGAACTTCAACCCCGAAATCGAAAATCGCCTAAAACAGGACATCTGATACGTTGACTAATTTCTGAGAAACTGGCCAGTTCTGAGGAGGAGCCACTTACTGACACTGTAAAAGACCAGCCCCCTGTATCGCCGCGGTGCATATATCATAGCCGAACTCGTATTGTTGAAGCCGAACTTACCATCGCCTTAACACTTATATGTAGTATGACATCTTTAGACTCCAATAGCACAGGAGGCAATTTCGCTGTCTGCAATGGGGATATTCGAGAAGGGAAGACATATCCATTTACAATAATGATCTTTTGTGACTTGAAGAGCTTAAGAAGACTTGAAGACTTACCAATTTTTCTATATTTCGACTTACCTTAGCCACAGAAGAATTATCAAAGTCTAGTTCCTCAGAGAACTGACATCCAAGGTATTTCATAGTTTCATCTTTTTCAATTGATCTTATTATCTCTCCGGTATTTAAGGAAAACCTTGATTTTATCAAGCTCCCCTACTCTAAGATAATCTCGAAACTCTTTTGAGGGTTTATGGACAGCCCCAACTGAGGAAGTATTCCTCGAATGTAATTAATTGCAACCTCCCCTGCCAGCAGTTACCGCTTGATTATCCGCGAAACCTGTTTGTAGAAAGGGATCGTGATTATCAAATAATTTATAACTATATTTCTCCGCAACTTTTGGTTCACACAGTTCTCTATACCGACATTAAAAAGTGCTCGGGAAAGGGATCCACCCTGTGGTACTTGGAATGTTCTCTCATAACATTCATAAGGCTAGTTTTGTTGACTACTTTATTGACCGCAATGGTGTTGTTACACAATTAGCCTTCGATCACGTTTCTCCGATCAGATAATTCACCCTTAACTTCCATTGACTTGTCAAATGCTCCAGTTATGTCCAAGAATGCATCTTTCTGATTGCTCTCAGCATCCTTGAGCCTCAATGATTCTTAAGTTCGCGTGATATCCAGGTTTTCTATTTAGGAAACCCCACTGGTTCGAGTGAAATGAAATTTGCATTCGAAGCTTGTGATGTAAGAATATTTCAATAATACGCCTTAACATCGTGTAAATTGTTAAGGATCTCCATGAAGAGAAATCGTTACTGACACCCTCTCCTTTATAAATTAGAACTGTTCGTTCACAACAGAAAATTTAAGAAATAGAGCCATATTTCAATGTGATGTCTATTATTGTTTTAATTATATGCGAAATTCCAAGTTTCTTTATTGTACTCATAAAAATTCCATCAGGATCTGAAGTGTCCAAAGATATACTCCTAATAAGAGGGTAGATCTCCTTTACATTATCGTTTTTGTGTTTAAAAATGGATCTAAAGTGGGCTTCAATCTTCTCAATTTTTACAGAGCATTGATTAAAGCTGTTCGCATTCATTATACTTTGGACCACATTTTTTCTCTAAAATTGTAGTACTTCTACTGGGCCAGATCATACTCATACCGCTTCTGCCTGGCAGCATTGCTAATTACTTCTCTGGGGAATTGCTGAAATTTCATTCTCCCTTACTCTTCATTTCATGTTATTTCTTCCTAAGCATCTGATAAAACCATACAGCTGGATGTTTTGGAACAGGAAGTGTGTTACTAAACTTCTGTCAGAAAAATATACATAAATGTATCTAAGTTATCAGATTTCAAAGGCATCCTGAACAGATGTGGTTTCCCACTTCCTCAACCAGGCTCTCTGTTGGCTGTTTATCGTCTTCATTTCTATTTTTCTTCTCAGTTGACAAAAGTTTGATTCTATTAAATCATCAGAATCAAAAACTCTCCCTACATCCTGAAACTCCTTACTTTACATTCATCTATCCACTCTCTCAATACCAGGAATCAACCTATAGATTAATATATCCTCTCACATAAAACTATTTCCTTTAACCTCCTTTTAGAAATCCATATGTCAATTCTCCTTCACAAATTCCTTCAAACAACTCCTGTTCCACCACCTAATCCATATTCAAACTTCCGCAAACATGTAAAAATTTACATGCCTCTCCAATTCAATCAATTGCATAATTGCAATAACAATCAACAGTTAATTAGGCATTATTTTGTATTCATCTAAGACAGACTTATTATTATTTAAAAAATTATTTTTTCATTAAAAAAAATATATTTTTTTATTCATCAGATGTCTCTTTGAAATGTGGATTGACAGACCACGTTTATTTTTAAATTATGACTGGCAGCTTTTCTTATATGGAAGACTTTCATTTACATTTGTTATCTTATAAATTTCTAATTTAAATCTTACCATAAACAGAAATCTGTTGCCAAAATTGGAACTATTTAATTTTTTCACTATTTCAAGTCTTTTTATGACCGCCACCCCGTACCATCTTCCGCAATTATTTGCAACCGTCAACTGTTGAGTATTCAACATGTCACATAAAATTAATTTCTATTTTTTGATTATGAGAAGAATGCTATATAAATATAATTTCTAAGAGACTCAAATTCATCTTCAAAAATAAAAATGACTTTTCAAAACAAAACTTGGCAATCTACCTTTGATGCAAACAAGACTATAAATTTCTATTTTAGTTTAAGTGTCCAAATTTGATTCATAAATTAAGTATCCCACCTAGAAAATCTTGAATCCTTAACTGATATATTTCATTATATACAATTTCATCCTGATGATAAAAAATTATGTCATATAGAAAATTTACAACCCACGAAATCTAAAGAAAAGTGAGTTTTCATCATTCCTTTATATATACAAGAATCCATTGAGTATTAATTAAATGACAACTTTTGAATCTAACTAGAGTTCTGTTTTTAAAATGAACCTTTAGTTTAAAGTTAAATTTTACATACTGAAATATTTCTTTTATAGCACTGATTTCATCAAGAAAAATGGTACAATAAAAAACTGGAATCTAATTTCCGATTTTGGCAACATATTTCTGCTTATGATAAGATTTAAATAAGAAATTTGTAAGGTAACAAATGTAAATGATAGTCTTCCATAATAATTAAGAATTGGCCACAAGTGGTAAGACTACAAAATTATTCATATGAGAAAACCTTATTTTAAATATATGGAATAGGTAATCAAACCAAAAGGTGTCAGATCTAGCCTATAAAAAACATGAAAGACTTCATTCTTAGATTGATACCAAAAAAATGTATTAAAAAACTTATTTTGTAAATCCTAGTAATAGATCGTTAATTACAATTAAACAAGTAAAATATAATACATCATTAATTTAGGCTTGAAGATACAAAAATGATATCTCCATATTCAAACAAATATAATATAGATTAATATATTATATTATAGATTATATGTTATAGATATATATCATATATAGATTAATATATTATATGTTAATCATAAAAATTTCTGGCGCCAAACCTCATAATTGCATTTAATAATAATGAATAATTACAAATAATTTACTTCTTACAAATATTATTTATTATGAAAAAGGGTATATACAGAGAACCATTGAAAAATACAGTTTTGAACTATGTTTTTAACTGTCTAGTTTTTTCTATTTCAGCTCTTAGCTGAATACTGAAGTCATCTTCTGTTGTTTCGTCATCCCAATTGTCTTCCCAGACATTTATATCAGCATCATCTTCATCTTTGCCGGTCCAATTCTCAGCTGGAAATTCCTCAAATTCATCATCTTCTTCTAAGAGGCCCAGATCAAGCTTTGGTTTTTCTTTAGTGTTTGGTTCAGCCATCTATAATAGGATGAAAGAAATTAATAACACTAAAAATGACAATATAAAAGGAAAACAAATTAAACTAAGTTATGATTCCAAAAATATTAGTTTAGTAAGGGAGGATCAAAAATCATTCACCAATAAGGATGCCATAGAACTTTACATACTTGAATATGAAAAGAAACAATAATTCACTAGCGTCCACTAGCTTTGAACATGGAAACATTGGATAGTAGTTAAATAAAATTTAATAAAGTAAAATTCGTGAGTTGACTCTAAAAAATAATCAACATTTAATAAATGTATAAGATACGAAAGTGGATTTAATATCTAGCATATATTTTTGATGGAATCATTTTGGCGAAATTTTATTTTGTTGTCAAGTCTTTATAACAGAACACGGTGACTGAAAAAAAAAGTTCATGTTGCTAAAATTACTAGCACACTAAGAAAAGGTATTCTATTAGGATTCACATAAAATTTTGTGAAAGCAATGAAGTAAAGTAATTACAAAGCAATTATAAACAATAAACAATTAATGACTAACCTCACAGCAATATTATAAACAACGTACACTTTCAAACTAATTTCGAAGGAAGGTAACAAGTGACAATCGGTTTATATCAGCAATCGAAAATCATTCAAATATTCACAGAGTTAAATGTACACATTTAACAGAAAAATAAATAACTTTAATGACTACCGAATGAAGAAATAATAAATATTAAAATTTTAAAAACTAATAATATTAAAAGTGAAATAAATAAAAGAATAATTTAACCAGTAAACATTGAATAAATTATAATTATGTATAATCCAGCATATTCACATTTTTTGTATAGTTTCCATCCGAAAACAAATTATTAGTTAATTTGTTAAACCTTTTTTATAAATTAAGATTGACGTTTTGATTATGCGAGTTGAAATGTATGTATCACCATCTGCATATACATACATATGTTTTTATGTATATCCTACAGTATCAGTATAATGTCATTTATTTAAATAATCAGGAACTATTATTTAAATTAAGGGCATATAGTTTGTTCTTCTACCAAAATAATATATATCTATTATCACGAGAAAAATTTAATCTTAATTTATCTAACAAAATATTTCCTAATATCAATTTTATTGTAAAAGAAAGGATCATTACTTCACGAAGAAGATAAATACGTCTTAATATGTTAGGCTGCTACTTCAGCCAGTTAAAATTGTCTTTGGAAGGTGCATTACATATTGTATTGAACATTTTCCTATGATTATACCTCTAAGTATGTTTATTGTTAGGCATTTCGTAAAAAAATTAAGAATATCCAAGCAATTAATATTCGTTTATTGTTTGCAATAATTTGTTTATTCCCATGTTGCTATTTGGGTTGTAGTGAGTGGCTTTTAAAAAATTAATTTTACGGCTTGGTTTTCTGAAAAACAATTTTATTGATTATTATACCTCATCTTTATGTTTATTATAGACTTAGGATAATTTCTTTTCTTCTGTATATAATAAAGAAAGTGTTAGATGTTTGTTTTTATTCATTCCATCGCACAAATCAATGTAAATTTAAAGGCTGTTTGTTTATTATTTTATTGCACTATGAGACTTATGAGAAATCAGGACCATCTCTATGATTAAAAGTGTACTTATAAAGATTTTTAAACCTTACGATTTTCTAACCACATCAATCTATTTAAAATAGACCTAACTTCTTGTTCTTCGAACTTCTCTCAAACGATCAGGCCTAATGAACAGAGGCAAATGATTTTAAAAGATGAATTTAATTTCTCCAAATTAATTGTTTGTGTAATCTGATTCATCTCTAGGCATTATAATTTAATTGATGGAACGTCGTGTAAGAGAAACAATATAGGTAATTATTTTTTCAAAACTCAAAGGTCTTTTGGCCTATTTATAATAAATCGTAAAGCATCTTACAATTAGTATTATACATGTTCTCATTTTGTTTGTAAAAATAGTTTAAAAATATATTATATTTTTGGTTAATGAAAAAGTAATCGAATATGAATTTATTAAACCGAATTCATTGACAGAAGATTTAATCCATACCAATAACAAATAACAATTGGTTCTGATTCCAAAAAATGTACTTCCTCATTTTTGAAAATTGATATTAAGAGTTATTTAAACGTATAGACAATTCGATTGTCTATTTAATTTTTAGTTTGATATTTAGAAGCAAATATTAAGCATATTTCATTTGTTATTAAAATTTACTTCAATATAGGACACAACCATCACTCCATTACCTTCAAATATTGAATTACAAAATATATAAACATTATTTATATTTCAGGAGTTAATAATGAACAATTCGCAGTGAAATTTAGCAATCTTACAATATTAACACATTAAATATCTCTGTTCTGGGTTATTTAAATATAGACTTTCAAAGAATGCAAAGAGTTTCGATAAAGTTATTCAGTGATGCGGGTTTGGCAACATTGAAGTCCTAAGCAAGCCCCAATAACAGCGTTGTAGATGTAATGGCTTCTACTTTAGGAATTGTGTTCTTCTAATGTTTGTACCTTCACGAAGGTCGATGTTCAAAAATGTCGTTGCGCGGGTTTATGTAGATATATTAAGTTTGTTTTGTATTTTTGTTAATTATTTATAAAATTTCATTAAAATGGCTGATGACGAAGTTCTAATGGAAGTGATTGTTAATGACTGCGATGAAGTACAGTTTTATTCTCCAGCAGATCAATGCAGGACTCTATATGAAGGCGAGTACTGAAAATAATCATTAAAAAAATATATATAATTGACTACCTGTTGATAATTTTTTTTCTTAGATTTATAATAGACCTTGAAGGCATATTGTGCCAGGTAGTTGGCTTGTAATTCCTAACTCTAAGTTTATATATTGATGAAAGTTTTCCTTTACCCATAGATTTTGACAGCAATTATATTTATTTGTTTTGAATTTAATATACTATTATTTAACTGTTATTAGTGATACCCTTTTATAGAAATAATTGTAGCTGTATTTAAATTTTATGTAAATTTGTTATTCTCTTCTATTAAAAAAATAATCATTTAAGTGCATTATTGTTTCATTATGGTTTAAATCATCCATTGTATTGGTTTCTTGATCATTAGGTATTCAATGTTTTTATTTATTTTATTAAGCCCGGACTATTAGTTTAATTGTGACTATTGATAAACTTTTGTTAATTAGGAGAATTGATTAGCAGTTGCAGATATTACTCTATGTTTGCAAATGTTGACTTTAGCCTATCTATGGTTACATAATCTTTATTGGTTGTTAAATACTTATAATTCTGAACACTGGCTAAAGACCAGCTAAACATAGTGACTTCAACTTTAAACTTAGTGATATGGGTTTCAAACCATTGTCACTGATATTTTTGTGTGTAGTTCTGTTTTTTTACTTCATGACGGTGGTTTTCATAGTCATCCACTGAATGCTATCTCCAGATTTCAAGGAATGCTGAAAGTATCCACGTAATGACAATCCTGTTCACATCTAAACACAGAGCTGCCTTTTGACTCAAGGCTCATTTCCAGGATGACAATTATTGCAGTAGTTGCAGCTATAATAGTGAGATTCCCAGCTGCTTCCATTTTGTAAACATCTATGACATTTTCTGCCTTAATAGTGCTGTCACACTATTAGATTTTGCTTTAACCTTTTTATCATTTGAGGCCACGTTAAGGTTAAACAGTCGTAATGCTGGATTAATTTTTATATTTTATTGTTACTTTTGTTTATTAATATACAAACACACACACACTCTCACCCATGTACATATATTCAATTCAATGCTGAAATTTTCTTAACTGTAATAATTAAATCCAGGGCTAGATTAACAGTTTAGGCCACTCACACCTCATGTGTGTGGTGCTACCGCTGACAGTTATTGATAAAATTAATTCTTCTAAATTATTGTCATCCCTTAGCAGATATTAACTGCGTTGATGTGCAGCTATTAAATTGTTAAAGAAGACAGCCCAAAAATTCCAAATGCGGCCTCTGAGGCCATAGCTAGCTCACCGAGGCCACACGAGGCCTCGAGAGTACAGGTTCCCCACCTATGGTATAGTAGATAGTTGCACGTTATCTAACCTTTTCAACTGTAAGATTGATTGTATAGGAGAACATGTTTATATTTTGTTTATTTTCGATTGTTAATTTTTGTTTTGTTTTCCCCTTTCTTGCCTTTTGGCTATACAGAGTTTTTCCTCAGCCACAGGTAAGGGCTAGGGATTAATGCCAGAGTTAAAGACACCCCCTTCTTCCTCCTGGCACCGGAATGCGAATGTTCAATTATTTTATCATGATAAAATAATAATAATATATATATGCACATACAGAATGTTTTGATAACAGCTGAATTGAAAAGGGAGAAAACTTATTATGCGAAGTTTTGTAGTTGGCTCAGTCTTCTTTCGAAATCATTCAGATATTTTTGGGAATCTGGGGATTGCTTGCTCAAGGTAATATTGAATCGATTACAATCATGGATTAGTGAAACGAAACTAGTAGTCAAAACTGTCAATTCCTAGTATTCAGCCATTGTCTTTGAAACACTATTCTTTCAAGTCTATTTCATTTAATCTTATGTTTTCCCTTTCATTTGATACTAGTTATCAAGTGTCACATCTGGTAGACAGGTGGGTCAAGTTCACATCAGTAGTACTTTAGATTGAATTCCGAAACTAGCTGAGTGTTGAATTGCTTATCAGAGGTTGCCATATTCTACTGAAGTGGCAAACAAATATTTCATTTTTAACATTGGTCAGGACCTTACATATGTATTCAAATACACTCAGTATTCTATTAACAGGGTAATCGATGTGATCTTGACCTACCTGCCAAACAGATGTTAGCACTTCAGAAGAAGTACTCCAAAATCAGATGTATTTTTGCTATTAGTTGTCGGGCTCAATGTAGTACCACAGGATTGTATTGTTCTAAGCTTTTTAAAAGAGACAAAATAAGTTGAAAAAAAGAAAATTAAGAATAGATTTAATCGGGTTGCTCATTACTTATAGGATATTTATTTAATTTTTAAATTTATTAATAGTAAATTAAGATTTAAAGATCATAATACTCCCACATATACATTTCACTAATAAATAATCTTTTTAACATGAAAAACATTTTTATTTAATGTTTCGGCAGTACTTGTTAAATAGCCAGTCGGGTCTGAATGCTATCTGCCAATGTTTATAACTTTAACACTGATAATTCTGATAAGGCACTGATAATATCTTCATATTCATATTTATTGTATTATATTCATATTATTATATCTTCGTATTCATATTTATTGTATTATATTCATGTTATTGAAATTGCATGAAGACGATGAAGAACATATATACATATAAAAGAAACAATACAAACAAAATATGTTCATAAAAAATAATTTTATTTTAACTTAATTTATTTTGGTAGGGGAAATGGTTTTATGCTATTTAAAATAGCTAGGAAATATTTAAATTATAGAAAATAGTAAATTATAGGAAATAGTTCAATTATGGGACCACCCATAAATGAATTTTAAAGCCGTTAAAAAAGAAATCCTCGACCCCTCTAACCACTTTCCTATCCTTATAGAAACATTTTTGTTACAAGTACGAAAGCATCTCCATTTTGTCTTCCCGTCCAACTTCATTTCATGACCTTCATCACAATATTTCACCTTTGCAATTATCCTGCCGTCTTGAAAATATTTTATAGCCTCTTCTTCTGAAGATGGCAATTCGAACAATGTAACAACATCCATAATTTTACAAAAATAACACTAACTCACAGCTTACATGAGGAACAAAAGATAAACAATGAAATAACTTAGGTTAGACGAGATAAGAAGGGGAGGTTATGTGATATAAGATTAGATAACAAGGGAGATTTCGACCCGACCAGCTATTTAAGAAGTACCATTTCGGCAATATAGCCATTTTCAAAACACCATTTATACCATTCAAACCACCAAAAAATAATATTCTTATACTACTATTTAAATACATTGATGCTTGAATAAGAAAATTTTAAATTTTAATTTTAAAGTTTCCAAAAAATAAGTGATTAAAGAAAGATAAATAATTTTTAGACATTCCATTGCAAAAATAAGTAACTGGCAAAGAAAATGTGAAATAAAAGTAAAATATTAGAAACACTAAGCTTTTGATAAAGTACTAGGCCAGAAAAATTTAAAAAGGTATCGGGAACAGGTTAAGAATAAAATAAAAAAACTGAGGATAACAAGCAAGCGTTGTTGGGATAGGATTGAATTCAGTAAATGAGTTAACTAGATGAGGGAAGTAGTGGAAAAAAAATACAGGACTGGGGGAGGAGGAAAAGACACAATATTCTGAGAGGATGAGGGAGTTGTGGAAGAAGAGAAAAGAGAAGAACACTAAATGATATTATCAATCCTAAGACATAAATTGTTACATTTAACATCTACTGGCATTAAGCAGTACCTTAAATGGTGTTTTAATTGTTGTTTTGTTTAAATTGGAAGGTTTCGAAAATAACCAATAGCGCAGAACCATTCAATTTTTTTTTCCTGTTAAAAATGTTTTTTTATTAGGAAAATGTGTTTGTGGGATTATTGTAATCTTTTTAACCTTGGTCTATTTCATTATTGTATGCATTTTTTCAATAAAATTAGCATTATCATGTGATATACTATTGAGTAAAAAAAACAAACAATTAATTGCTGTTTCATATCGAATATAGTGTGTAGTAAGAGTAAAATATTGATATTTCGATAATATTAACTATCGATGGCCATCTCTAAGTAGAATTGAATAGCACACATGGGGTCCTTCTCACTTATGTCAGTAAACTCAATTTTCCGAAAATTGTTAGTAGTGAGAAATTTATGAAGGATTCAAATAAATCAGCATTTAGCTGAATTCGATCTATGGGCGAATGGAAGGCATAATTGGTTGTATGGAAATTTCTGGAAAAAAGGTGAGGATGACAAAGATACGCAGGATCTAGAAAATTAATTTTATTAAGGAGGGTAGAAGCATTGATATTTCCATTAACTGATTTCAAACTCATGGAAACAAGTAAATAAATAAAGCTTTGCAATAATTTATTTTAGTAATTTTTGCAAAAAATACAGGCACTGTTAATTGACAGGATATCAAATCACTTCATTTTTTTTTACACAGCTTGAGATGAATCTCAATTTATTTTGTTATAAACCCTAAATTTAAGTATTATGGACTTGAAGCTTATTAAACAAGGAAGTTTTTTTAAAACTAGGGTATCTGAAATATAGTTGGAGATTGATAAAAAAAAAGTTGTGAATAATTCATGATTTTTTATTTTAAACAGAACTTAGCTTGCTTTATTTGCTCAGAAGTCCTCTTTCAATGGTTTTACTAATGATAACTTCTACTTTTACTTGAAGTCAATTTTATATGAAAAAAACATGATCATTCAATAAAAACACATAACTATGATTAATGTGAACTTTTCTACTTCTTGATGTCTACTATCACTTCTTCAAATATTTCCTTTTACTTATGGGACAACCAGGATATTATTTATTACAATGGAAAATATATTAATGGTACAAATATATCATGATTAGTGTCATGCTGTGTATTCTCTTATTGCCTTATCTATTTTTGTTATCTGGCATTCCCTGGAACCCAATTTTCGCAATTAGTCCCCAGCTGATTTTCTGTTTTTCATGTAGTTTTTCTGTAACTCATTACGTAAAGCTGGGTTGGTGAATGGAACCTAATATTTTTTTTTAAAGTAAATTTTAAATTATTTCTTTCATGCTCACCAGTTGGCCTTCCCACTATAATTTTCTCACCTAGGTTCGTGTTAAACAAATTTTAGGGTTGAAGTACTTTTCCTTAGTTTAATGTGGTCTGCCTTTCTGTGTCTTGTTATCATTGCAGAACATTGCTTAGTAAATTAAAATTAAGTGTTTTCTTTAATTTAATTAATAATTTTAATTACACTCCTTGTGATCATGAATTTACCACCTAAGTTTTATGGGATTTAAATTACCCATATTTCAATGGAGTGGCCTGTGGTTATTATGTGGATGTATCCAATCAATTAGAATTGACAGAAAAAGTGATTTCATATTTATATTCAGTGCACCAATTATATTGAAAATCCTAGACTCCAAAAATTATCAATACCTATCATTCCTGTGTTTCATTTTATTAACTTTTATTAATTTGTTTGCTTTTTTATTTTATTCATTTACTGCAGCTATTTTGACTTTTTTGTTTAAATGTTTACAGATAAAGATGCTATGCTTAGAACTATTAAGGAAGCTGTAAAAGAAGGCGTGTTAGTGTTACCTACTGTCAAATGGGATGAAATAAACTCTGTAAGATTTATTTCAAATGTTGAAAGATCAGTTGAAATCACCTCTCAGGTATTATTTTTATTAACAGTTGTTGCCTTACCAAAATTAAATATATATTTCACTGTATAGTTTTTGAAGTAATCTAATTCAATTGTGTTGATACTATTTGATTACTTGGTACATATTAATTTTTTCGCCGCTGCGAATGATGAGCTTTATGTCTACCACAGTGCTAAGATGGCTACCCACCTACCGTCCTGTGCTACATACTTTTTTCCTGTCTTCCACCCTACATTATAGCTCTTACTACTATCTGTTAACCTTATTTTATTGTCTCCTTATTGATTCGGGTTGTGGGCTGACACTAGAGCAATTGAAATTTTTAAAATTTAATTTTGTATGGTATTCTTTGAAGCATTTGTAAATACAAAGAGAAATCTTACAATTGCAACATTCTATTTTTGTTTCGCACCAAATATTTTTTTTATATTATATTTTTTCGGCAGTAGTAATGAATTCAGCAGCTTCTGCAGCAGTAAACCATTGTTTCTCCATTTTGAAGAAAATAACAAAGCAAAAAAAAAAAAAGACTAACTTCTGACTAAAATATAATGAAAATAATTAATTCTATATGGCCATGTAACTAATTAAACTAATCCTATTTGATCTGATTTCTAACTAGACTAAACTAAATAATATATTAAATAAACTAAGAGCAGTTGAACTCATGTTTGTTTCACATATAATGCAAAAATAAGAATAAAAATGGTCGAGACAGTCAGAGAAAGGCTGTAGTAAGTAATCACCCATAATGGTTCATGAATTATAAAAGAAAAGCTACAAAACAAATCTCCGCACCATCATAGGCTCCAGTTAGAAGCTTTATTTCACTAGGAAAGCAGCAGAGTGTAGTATGATGGGCAGTGAAATGTGTGTTGAATTTTTCAACCCAAATAGTTTATGTTATCTAAGTCTTCACTTACATTGAATAAATTAAATATAACTATATCTTGTTTGCCAATTAAAGGGAGTAACAAGGCAATTTTTCTCTTGTATTTCGCTTTGTCTAGATCTGTCACCACCAAGTAAAATTTGAATAGTTTGTGCCTCTCTGTCCATGCTTTTGCGAAATTGGATGAATTGATTGCCTTCCACATCGAGTGGTTCAATATTACGTTAAAGACTACGTTTTATTGTCATTCAGAAATAATGAACAATAATAATTGTTCAGTCCTCCAGAAATAATGAGAATCATAACCTACAATTACTACTACTACTCTCTGGTTCTACAGGTATGGTATTCCCTGCAGGCCCGTCTATACTCGACATTAGCAAATGGAAAGAAAAGCAGTAAGAGGGCTACAGCCGACGTTAGCACTGAGGGCAGGAGTGTGCATCAGCTCATCATAAAATCCTAAATACCAAGGTCATTTTAGGCAGAGAATTTTTTTAGAAAAAAAAAAAAATGATTTTTTTTTTTTTTTTTTTAAGATTTATAGGTTGTGTGAGCTAAAACAACATTGGTATTTGAGATTTTCAGCCATTAGCGGTCACTTTATAACTTCCAATATATTTATGCATGTGCATAATTTAATAAGTTAATTAAGAAGTTTAAATAAAAGCTTTATGATCTTATGAATAACATAAGACTTTGTTACACTTTATCTAGATTAAATTATTTAATTTAGTGCAATGTATATTTTTTTTTTCAAGGAGGTTCTTCCAGAAACTGAATATCAAACATATGAAATAGTTGAAGAAGCACCTGTAGATGAAACTGTAACGAGTAAATATCTGTTTGTAAATTTTGCATGTTATTCATCTACTTTTTTTGTAATGCAAACAGTAAAAGTTATGTTTTTCTTATTACATTTCATTAATTTCTAAAAGTTTAATCATTAAGTTTATGGTTTTAACTTTGGAAAAAATAATGGATTTAATGTTTTGATATTATTAATACTTATATCAAAATCTGATATCACTACAATTGATCTAGAAATTCAACTGAATGTAGCTTAGAACAAACTTTAAGCTGTGTGCCTCCATTCTTTATCCAAAAAATTTGTCTATAGTGTTTAAAACAAATATGAAGAAAAAAAACGTAAAGGCAGGTTTTATCCCACTTCTGTAACCCAAATGCTTTTACTGGTAGTATCAAATTTTAGGGGAAAAATTCTCTGCACACTACTATGACTGAAACTTTTCTCTTAGGGTTCAAATAACGTTTATTGCAACTTAGCTAGATATCAGTGTGTTACTAGATGTTTTTGAAAATAATTTAAAAGACCTACAGAAGCATATACAATGGAGTGTTTTAATTTAGACACCGTACCTGATGGTATCTACAGTATAGTTTCCCTTAAAAAAGAAATGTGAAGGCTATTTTAGCAGGTATCTGAATCTTGATACTGATTCAGGTATTCAAATTTGTAATTGATAAATTCTTTGTGGTATGTTCTTTACTGTCATTTCAATCTTTATTGTACATTATATTTTTATCATGATTATTTTAAGGAATTTGTGAAGAAATACAAAGCTCTTAGCAATTAGAACAAAAAACATGGTTTGATTGGAAATGATAACCACTGTTGTTCATGAATAACAGTTCCTTACTGATGGTCAGGAACCAACGTTGGCTAAGGTCCAGATTTTCTTGACAGAAGCCTACTAGTTGCCAGGGAACAATTGATTACTTGGTATTATATAAAAAAACACAAAAAAAAACAAACATAAGATGTGTTTATTTATTGTTGCAGTTATGTCATTAGTTACGAATGTTTCATCATAAAAAAAATTATTAACAAATACTTATCATTTTTACAGTCGCAACTCTCTCACCTTTGTTTAATTCTTTGATTTTTAAAAACTATTATCTTTTGGTACTTTTCAAGTACTCACTTAGAAAAAGATTTAATGATCTACATCCCTACAAAAATAAAAATAAAAATTAAGCCAATATTACCAGAAAGCTTTTATATTTAACTTGTTCCCAAAGTATTTAGGAAAGTCGTGTCAGAGGGCACAGCAGATATTTTTGATATACTATTTGGCCATAGTTGAACCATTGTTAAACAATTCACAACTTTTTTTAAATATAGAAACAATAGGTCCATTAGAGATTAGTGGGCCGGGGTGGCCGAATGGGTTAACGCGTGTGCACAGCACCACCTTTGGCTGCGAACCTGATATATCAATCAAATGATATAAAAAAAGGTCCATTCGAGATTTTCTGTGTAAGGTTCGACAGATTCAGTCTCTTTTTTGGGTTCTCATGTATTTCAGCATTTAAACAGTCATTTTGTAGGAACTTGAAGATTTCTCCAGCTTTAAGTTGAGCAACACTTCTTCTAGTTTATCCTCATCACTGAAACTATAGTTTGTTGAATTATTTTGTCTTAAGTAAATTAATATTAATTAAAAATAAATAAATTCTTCTAAATGTTTAGTGAAGTTCTATTACAAATTATTTGCTTTTATCATTTTTAGATAGTGGAAGGGGGCTGAAATAAATACCATATTTCAAACGTTTATTTATTTTTTATTTTTACATTAAAACATGACCATAAACTTATTGATTATATGTTTAAAACTTTAGCTTTTGTTGTTGTTTGTCTAGTCCTTAGTTTATAAGTTTACTAATTATTGGTTTTCTAATGGAGATTAAACTTAATTGACTCATGTTAAATAAAAATCTGATTTCTTTAGGTTCAGTGGTACCAGAAGAAATTATCATTGATGTGGGTTTAAGTTCTGGTGAGACGATATGCTTTTGAATACATTTCATTAATAAGTATCACTTAAGTTATTATGTTTGCTTAAGAATTTCTATTTTAGTTTTTTACTTACTCTTACTTATTTTATTAATAATAATTCTACTATTTTAAATGATTTTTTTTTTTCAGTTTCTTTTAATATTTGTGTTGTCTTTAATTTCATAATATGCTAGTAATAAAAAACTAGGTTCTCAAGGCTAATAAAATCTCCATGTTCAAAGAAATGTATTTTTGATACATCTCTTTGGTGTTAAATCATTAATGGTTTGAATAAAACTGTACTATTTAAATCTCAAAAATGTTCTAATGCTTACTCTTAATAAATATAATTAAAGTTTAAATAATTACCTTGATAAAAATAATTACAGTTTTTTGTATCTATTAATTTGATAGAAATATTGAGTTAATGCAACTGAGGTTGTATGTTTATCAAAAGCTTTAGTTATGATGTTGTAACTATTTTAAAAAAAAATATATGTTTAATTTGTATTAAATCTAAAGCGATTACATTACATAATGTCCTTTTATAAGATTTAAGTAATAATTATTTTGTTCTTAATGAGCTACAAAACTAGGTTTAACATATATTGAGGTGAGTAAAACATGGTACTTAACCTTTATTATCATAAAATTCTTTGAAATTTTCTGTACTATATTCATCTACATATTTTATTTTACAGTAGGTATTTAGAGAAGGATGCAATTAAATTTATATAAATTGCTTAAAATTTTAAATTAATGTTCCGTATATTGAGTTCTTCAATTCTAATCCAAATGATCGGAATAATATAGATAACAGAAAACGATTTTTCTCAAGAACGGGGATGCAGTTTTTTTGTTATTTATTATTGAGGGATACAAATGCTCTCTTTAGTTAATAATCATTAGAGGATGATGAAATGTATGAGTATTTTTTTCTGGTAATTGGATGAAAATAAAGCAGGTCTAGAAAAACAATAAAATCAATTCTTCTGAAGAATTTAAAATTCAGTATTGGGAATTTATTTTGTTATGGTTTGTTTCTTTTTATATTTCCTTATCATTAATTAATTTTAAGTGATACAAGAATTTTTTATTAAGCTTAAATGATTTTGTTATGAATTTTATAATATTATCTTTAATACAAAGGTATTCTTTTGTAGATATGTATATTAATATCAATAGTTTAATGATAACTGTAAACTGATGTATTCATTAGGGTGGATAACAGAGATAGTACAGTTGTGTATTTATTTTATTAGAATATTAATATATATCTATGATATATATTAATATTCTATTAAAATATTTTTAAGGGATTATTTAAAAGAAAAAAAAAAAAAAAAAGATAAATCTCAGTGTTTGTCTTTAGGTGATACCATAGTATACTTTTTAATCAAAATCAATTGAATTTATAGAATGACAAATTAAAAATTTGGATTGTAATTTGAAGTTAAAAATCAAAATTAGAAGTGCAGAATGCTCTCTTCTGATCTTCAACCATGGCTTATCACTGTAGGTTGCTGTCTATTTTATATGTATTTCGGTTTCTGAATGATATGTATTGCTTGGCTTTTGTCTTAGAAAAACGATATTTTTGTACTAGCTCTCCATGATAATAATTCAACCTCATCATAATGTTATCGTTGCTACATGGATGAATATGGATTTTTTAAAAATTTTATTAAGTTGGCCGTACACAATCAGTCCATTGGTTCAAATGGAGCATTATGACATTGTTATTGTATCTCTTTGGAGAAACTGATGTGGAAAAAGTGAATTGAGAGGATTATTTGCATATCTAGTCAATTAATATCCATCAGTTGGGTCCATCATATAATAAAAGCAATTGATTGTGTTTGGAGAAAACCATGTGCCCCAGTTAAATGGTGTTTAGTGAAACCGTGGTTCAAACACTTCAGTCTTTCACTGATCACTGAGCAGATAAGTGGCTTTGTTGGATTGTCCATCATTGAATTATTTATTTATTTGAATTTTGTAAAGAAATATAATTATATTATATTTCGTTCTATTGGAGGCTTCTAAAAATATATTTCGGGTAGTTCATGGGAGGTTGTTTGAAAATTATAATAGTGTAGTTATTCTTGATATGAGAGTCAATGGTTGTACGATTCTTCCTATATTTGAAGCAAAGCACACCGTGAAAAAAACTACACATTTGGTCATGACTACGAAATAAACAGATTTTTGATGATCACACTATTAAAATGATCCCCGTTTTGGATTGGAATTCAAAAATACATAAATTTGGAATATGAAATGCTGGCCATCTGTATTAACATTGGAACATGCTGTAATTTTTTTTTTTTTTTTTTTTAAAGTATTGTCTAGAATATTTGGCACCTTGAGGCTTTTAGCACTGTACAACCACGGAATCTTTACCTGCGTCTTATAATTGTTGAAGAAAATACATTGTGTTGGGCCGAGATTATCATGATTGATAAATAATGAATGTAAATAGTCTATAAGTGCTGAACATTTGATGGATAGACTGATATTTAAATGGATGGAATGGGCGATGGATTTGTTGCGTGACAGGCTTTATAACTTATTTTTAAATAAAATAAAATTTATATAATATAATTCTGATTAACAATTAATCAGGTTTTATATTTCGGTGTTGGTGACATAGGTTAAGTTGGAACTTGTAGCAATTATGTATTAGAGGTTATGTTAGGAATCGAGTCTATTCAGTCTCGTGATAATTAATTAGTGACAGCTTAATTTAATGAATGGTGGTCCTGGATATTAATATCTGATATTAAGGTTATGAGGGATTGATTTTCACTTACCAACATACAACTTTGTAAGCCAGCTATCTACCGAAGTAATAGCAACAACAGATTCGGTAAGTCAGTACCATAAATTGGGAAGATTGGGTTGACTTATTAAAATTCTTTTAAATTAATATTGTAATTACTATTCTGTTATGATTAAGGTAAAGTTGCAGCAGTATGTTGAATCTTCTTAAATTTAGTGAGTGTAATGATCCGAAAAAGAGAAATGCAAATTGCTATTATTAAACTAAATAACAACTTTCTATTCCAGTCTTTATTAATGTTTCATGAATTTTTTGACAGGAAAAGAGTTGAACTGTCACACAGAACATGAAATGTTGGAAAGCGTCAACTTCATAGGTATATTGTGCTTATTCAGTAATTTGTATTGATAACATCATGTCATTTTTTTTTTCTTTAATGTTTTTATTTATACTTATATTTCTCATTATTTATTGAGAATGGAGGTGAGATAATTAAATTATTTATAAAGTATACACTCTCCTGAATGAGTTCCTTGTAAGTGTAGGAAGAAGGTAATATTCCCAGTCTATTTCGAATCATCATCCCTCCTGTTTTTAAATTCTATTACAGATTAATTCATAAAAAGATTTTATTTTTTACAAATGTAATCATTTGTGATATTCATTAAAACAAATGAGCATTAGAACTGCTTACAGAGTTCATAATTTCTCCAAGTTTTTACTTCAGTCGTTGAATGCATTTATTTTTACAAAATTTATCATGTGAAAATATCTAACCATCTCAGGGGTTTTCTTTCTGGGTTATTATGTGCTGAAGTTTTGGTAATAGTTATTTTAAGATTAATTTCAATTTTAATTGTCAGTATTTTCCTACTTCCACATTAAGAAAACATGCTCAACTCTTTAAATCACTTCTGAACCTTACAGCAAATGTTTCATTTTGGTAATATAAGTTGTTTATTATACTATATTTAATTTTTATATTATCATTCATTCATTATATGAAAACATATTAATTTAAAATTCATATTTATTGTTATCAAAACTTCAAATTTTTAAAATTCACTTCATACACCATTTTTGAAACCACGTTCAGTGTAAGCGATATATGAAAAAATAGTTGTAGCTGTTTTTGGTAGTATTTTTAGAAAATTTCTTCTACTGCAGTTCTTTGAATGAGTCATGTCACCAAACTCTTTATTTAGGGATAACTATGTCTTGGATTATTAACTGATGTATTACTAAAAGTACCTTTTCACTGAAACTGTTCCAACATAGTTGCTCCAAGTGGCTGTATGGTGGTAGTTGTCAACTATTTTAAAGAAAAGCAACAGGATGTATTTTGTTGGAACTGTTCTGCTGTCCCTACCGCTGCGTCTCAATTGTTGAGTAGTTTCCTTTATTTTTGGTCTAAATAAAGAAAGTTGTTGAGGATATTGGAAGTTTCTTGTTTTCTATGATCTTAAACTCAGACTTTCCAAAGTTTTCAAACTTTTCATTGAGTTGGGTATATACTGTTAATATTAGGTATTGTTAAAATCATGACTTCCTCTTCCTCTTAAAATGGTATCCATGTTTCTAACTTGCCCAAATTTATATAATTTATTCCTTTCACAGAGGGTAGCAACAAATGAACAATTGAAGACAAGTCTATTGTTACGGTGAACAGTTCCAATGAAATACATGAGCAGTAACAATTGAAAGTAATGGTTTCCAGTCACTTCTAGCTGCTATGGTGGAGAGTTTCAGTGAAAAGGTACCTTAACAGTTATTTACCTTGATGCTGCTTGAATCATAGATGAGTAATGATGTTCCTGAATCCTCATACTGCTGCTTTCAATACTTTCTTTCTTTGTCTATCTCAATTTTTTTTAAAATTGTGTACATGTGTTTTCTTGACTAAGTTTTAGCTAATTGAATCTCATAAGAAAAAAAAATCTTGGTAGATACTTCATTGTTATTTTTTTAAATTTGATAATATAAAGATACTCGATATTCATTTTAAATATTGTGGTATTTTTGATGGTCAGATGAAAGACTCAATCTCTGTCCATATTGTGATTACCGTACATACAATGTGGGGCATTTCAAAGTTCACATGAGACAGCACACTGGGGAAGCACCGTTTGCATGTGAATATTGCCCATATCGCTCTAAACAGAAGTCAAATTTAAAGAGGCACTTGAGGCAGCATCTTGAAGGTTAGTCTTGGTTTACAGTATGTTTTGTTTCGTTTTATCATTTACATTATATTTGATTACTGTTATATGAATTTAAGGTGTTGAAAAAAATTCATGTTAATCTTTCTTTGTTTCAAATTTTCATAACATTAGTTTTCAAATTGTATTAGTATTGCATCTAATAACTTAACACACTTGTTACTAGTTTAATTTTTGTCCCTCATGGGTTCATGTTTCTACCAGAAGTCTTTTCATGTTTAAAGAGGTCTGAAGTTTCTCTTCATTGAAAAGATGTTAGTTCACTGATTGCGCATTGAAAAAGCTATTAAATTAAAAAAAAAAAATTGATACTTTTTGTTTTTCCAATTTCTTATGTTTGCTATTGGAAACATAAAATTGAATGAAATTTTAAACATATTCAAGTCTTATCTGATCAAATATCTAAAGCTAAGCAATTTTGCTTAATGTTTTTGTTTTACTATCATCTTTCAGAAGAATTTTTAAATCTTAAGAAATTTTAGTTATTATTTCTATACTGCCTTCATGGCTTGTATTTAAATATAAATTGAATTGATAAATACAGTAGACTTCCGACAAACCTGCTCTCCAGATACTGGCTGTAGCGGTAAAAAAAAATTAACATCCTTAAAAGCACTTATAACTTTGTGATATTCTCATCCACTGGTTATAAATTTATAATTGTGCGTTGATGGTTGACTGTAGTGAATAATTGAAGAGAAGGATGGTTGGGGTCAGTTAAAAATAACATAGTAAAAATAAATAATTATGTTTATTTTTACATTCAGCGACGTTTCGGCCCGAAGTTCAGGACTTAATCAAGGCTGAGAAAAGAACCAGATAACAATAGGTACAAGAAACTATACCTATTATATACCTAAACAGTACCTATAAACTATATTTATCTTATAGCTATTGTTGTCTGGTTCTTTTCTCAGCCCTAATGAAGACTTGAATCGAGGGCCGAAACATCCGCTAATGTAAAAATAAATTCAATTATTCATTTGTGACTGATCACCCGAACCATCCTTCTCTTCTGTTATAAATTTAATTATTATAGTATTGTGGTTTGATAGATTTTAAATAAATTGAAATGTAGACAAAAAGGTTTTAGTTAATTATTTTTTTACAATTGACTGAATCTCAATAAAACAAATCTATTCAAAGTAAAATTGATTCTTGAAACAAAATCCCCTATCCTTCATTTACTTTATAGAGAAATAAAAAAATAAATAATGCGTAATTGCCGATGCAGTAATATAACTGCATATGTTACCCACGTTAGACATGATACATTTTCTTGGAAAGGTTTTAGTCTAGGTTTTGTGGTAGTGGGGTAGTTCAGTGAATGAGCACCGACTTCCCGAGCTCAAGGTCCAAGGTTTGAATCTGGCTGATGACTAATAATTTTTCATCAGCTGTGGACGAATCCTGGGGCTCACTCAGCCTCTATAAAGTGTATATTCTTAATTAAATAGTTAATTAAGGGGGAAAACCTGGTGGTTGAGCGTGATTTTGGCCCAATCATCTCTCTGCACAACTGTTAGCTTAGTAACTTACTCTCATTGTACTGAACCTAAGACCCTTTCATGGGTTGTTAGCAGTACAGGTCTTTTTCAGTTGTGTTACTGATTAAGTAGTTTGTTACATTTTGATTTTTCCTTACTATAGAAGTTAATATTACAGTTTTTTTATTTCATAGCCTCCGTATTAACTGGTGATGTCTCAGTCCCGATGTGTACGAATAAGCGGGAGTCTACTGTACTGGGTTTAGATAAAATATTACATGGTCACTAAAACCTTTTTATATAATAGAGAGAATCCCAAAATTTTAATTTGTTGAGATTGGAAAATAAAATATAACATTCACTGAAACCTTTCTTATATAATAGAGAGATATAATATAGTATTATTTTATAAAAATAATTGTATATATCTATAACATGTAGGTATGTATTAAATAATAGAAGTAATGATAATTTTTAATAATAATATGAGTGAAAGTATACCTGATATTATAATTTGAGTTCAAATGTTGATATGTGTCTAACTGCTGGAGAGGATTTTTTTGTACTAGTTGATAATTAAAGCAACGTGTCAGGTGTTGTATTTTTCCTTCCTGGTGATTTTTTCCCCATCATTATGGGGAAAGTGCCTAAACCATTCAATCTGTTCACATTAAAATCGGCATTATCAATACTACATTGTATGAAAAACAATACAAGTCGAGGAACAATCAATAAGTCCTGGATGACGAATATGTCACTGAAGGAGGTAGGTTGGCAGATTTGCTTGGTCTTAGTCCTTTGAAGCAGAGTAAATACCTTTAATTCACATGTTTACACTTTCATTCACTTCATATACACAATTTTTTAACAAACCGGATATAAATTTTGTATTTCAATTTCAAAGAACTCCTGCTCTCCTACCAAACCTTTTCCATCATCCCCCACTCCCTCTGCTAAATGTTAAATGGAAAAAATGTTTACTTCACTGACTTATATCAGATAGGTTATTGAAGATATAAAGATAATTGTGTATGATAAAACATGAAAATTGTTATAGCTTAAAATCTTGAAGTTTGAAAAATTTGCAAAATTTTGAAGAGCTGTTGCCGAAACCTATTTAGTATACCGAGCCTATTCTGCTATCAAATTGTAGTGAATTTAATCTAGTTTAAAACTGTTTAGACTTTTTTTTTTTTTTGCTATAGCATGATCTTTATTTTTCGAAATGGAGAAAAACCAATATAAGTGCATAGATTTATCAGTTTTGGAAATATTTAAAAGTGATTTGAGGGGCTGCTAAGGTCAAAAACTTGGATTTTCCAATGGACTCACATCCCATACTAGAAAAAATAAAACTTATACCACCACTTGATGTTGTTTAACATGTACTGTGTTTTTGGTCTTCTGGCCAACTTCTCCATACTTATGAACATGTTAATGTTCATCCGTTGTTTATGTGGTGAAGATAGATGAATGAGTAGAAACTGTCCTTTGCTCCAACTGTGGCTTATTTACCTACGTTCTTAATTTGACATGTTCTATTCTACATTTATTACAACTATCATATTTCAGCTAAGTTTACATTACATAATCATCACACCTTTTTTACTTGAAAATAAAATTATCTCTTGTTTAATATTAAACTAATTGAGTTTATTTGATTGTTTTTAAGTCACCTTCTTCTGATATTCATTGCTTGTTTTATAGGGAAAGATAATTTTGAGTGTGAAATGTGTTCATTCACTTGTACCAAAGAAAAAGTCTACAAACGGCATCTGAAATTGCACCAGCGTTCACGACCATTGAGGCCTTGTCCATTCTGTGATTATTTCTCTTCAAGTCTTGCTCATCTTACTGTAATTATAATTCACTTTATTAATTTGTTATGCTTATTAATTTTCTAAAAATAAGTAATAATTTTTATTTAGAATTAATCTAGCAAGAATGTCTCGTAGTCCTTATAAATAAAATTAAAAAATAATTCATGTATATGTACTGCTTATGATTGCTTTGTTTGAAGTTTAGTGTGATGAATTTATTTATAATATTAATCTATTTGATGGATATAATAAAAATAAATTTTATGGAATAATAGTTTCACTTTAATCAATAATATTAAGCGAGGCTTTCATATTAGCTGAATCCAGTAGTTATGTTAAAAATAAAAACAAACTACAATTTTGTGCCATGAAGTTTTTTTTAAACATATTTTATGGGTGTTATTCATTGAGGTTTCTTGGAAAGAAGTTACCTCAATTTTTAGAAGAGAAGAGCTTAAGTCCAATATAATTTTTTTATTTCCTTTATTACCGGGTGTTGAGTTCTTGATTCTTCAATCAGTTTTAAAACACTCATAGGATCAGAGACAATTTATAAAATTAGCTGTACGGGTGTACAAAAGATCTTTGATGATAGTGGCTTCTTCTTTGAAGACATAGCATGGCTGGAAGCTCATATAGAAGCTCTTTGCTTGCAGTAATAGTAATATAATTAACAATATTAAATAATTACTCTTAAAATAATATAATAGCAATATTATTTTTAATATTTGTCACTTTTTCAAAAGGTAAAACAAATCAAATTAAGGATATGAATTTAACATATCTTCCATCCTAAGCTTAATTAGAATGTATTAAATAATGAATTAAATTTATTTTATGTACAAGTTTTATTTTCTAATTCAGGTGCATATAAGACAGCACACTGGAGAAACTCCTTATCACTGTGGTGTATGTCAGTACAAAACAGTCCAAAAATCAAATCTTACTCGCCACTTGAAAAAACATCGCCGTAAGTATAAATTCATTTATCCTAATAACTTTTAATTGTTTTGTATAAATTATTGAATTTAAGAAAAACTTACCAAATATTAATAGTAGTTATTAGTGTCACTATAATCTTCTTTTTATTTATTTATGTACATTTTCATAATAAATCGAATAACAGAAAGAATTCCTGAAAATGTTTAATAAAATATTTGTTCGCATGTATTTCTATTAGTTAACACCATAAGAGGAAAACAGCTATGTTCTACCAAATTTATAAATTTAATTTAGGATTGGTCACTAAATTATAATTTAATTTTTTTTTTGTCTAATTTAACTAACTTAGTATGTTATTAATTTTTTTCTAGATCATCGGGTAAGCAAAGCAGATAAACTGCGTGTTTGTGCACATTGTAATTACCGAACTCCTAACTCTGCACACTTATTGGCCCATATTAGAGCTGCGCATACCGGTGAAGCTCCATATAGTTGTAAACATTGCGATTATAAGTCAGCCCAAAGGTCAAATTTAAAGAGACACATGAGAAAACATACAGGTAAATAAGTAATCAGTTATGATAAATTTGAAAGTAAAACACTTAGTAATTTAATTTGTGTTACTTTCTTATCACAATTCCCTATTTACTAACTGATTATTTAAATCATATTTTATATATGGAATTTATTAATTAAATTGCATTTAGTATTATTTATTTTATTTTATGTAAAATCAAGACAGTAATAATCAATGATACTAATTGCTGTACATTCAAAATAATTCTTTTCTGCCTTTATTAGTTCTTTGAACTCTTATTTTATTGAGGACAGTTTACATACTAGTCATGCAAAATCAACGCTGAGCCGACGAACAATGGGACATCTATTAAAACCGTATCCTGCCTTTTACAGTCTGTTGTACAAACCCATTTTTATCAAATTATTAACACCGTAAGTAGCTTCATCTCATCGTAACCTAAAAATATTTTATTCACAAAAATTCTCAGAATTGGGCATTTTCAATTTGGAGATCATTAATCTTTGTACTGATAGTCGTTGAAACCCAACAACTTCTTTGGATGGAGCTAATATTTCTTTTTTTTCACCAAACAACTATCATTTGCCCAAAAATCTTTAATTCCATTGATTGTGTAAAAACATTGGATTTTTCTTTTAAAATGTTATCTCCAATCGGTATGTTAGAATGACATGCTTCTGTCAATCATAGTTTTTAATGATCTGCCAATTCTGGGTACGACCCCTCTTGAAACGCTTCACTGCTCATAGCCTGCGAGATGATTATGGTTTATCTTTGTTTCTTAATATGTATGTTATTATCGATAGAGGAACATTAAAACATTTCGATACGATTTGTTTGACACCACTGACCATGGCTCTAATGATAGTTTTCCTTGACGGAAAGAGTTTAGATCTCAGAGACATTTTCAAAACTAAACTGAAACATAACATCCTAATTGAGAAAATGAGAGCGCTAGAATAGAAAAAAAGAGATAAACAATGGAAATTCAATGAAACGGTAATCTCTTCTCTTAAAAGGATTAAAACTATACTTGTTTTGTTTTAAAAAAATTAAAATATAAGACATTTAAAATATTTTGAAGATGAAAATAATTAATAATTGTTGAGTTGGCCAAATTACATTGTTTTTGTAAAGAGGGTGAATTTCAAGGGACCGGGGAATCCATACGAATTAACATGATTCTACTGCATTTAATAAGTACCCTTTTTTTTTTTATTCCAATGTCCAAGAGACAGATTGTTATAATATTCAATAAAGAAATAAAAAAAAAAAAAATAAAATAAGTACCCTCAGGACCCAACACCAAACTTTTGATGTTTACTGTCTGAAGAATGAACTTCAACAAGGCCAACCCATTCATTGTTTTTCCGGTTGCTATGGTAGTTTCTTGGATGAGTCACAAAAAATATTTATTTTACAAATTATAAAAAAAAAAGTTCGTCATCTGAGCTTAACAAGTATCGCATTTAGATAGATGTATACGCCAATATCTCTGAATTAGCTCGATGAAGGTAATTAGACCACAAAGTGAACCAGTAGACCAAAACTGGTTGCTTTGTAATAAATAAAGTATTTTTGTAGAAAGACCACATTTTTATATTTTCTTTCTTTATGTATGTCCTATTATACAAAGAGGGATTTGTTTCCATCGACTTCCTTTTTTAGAGCTTGATCTGATTTTTGATACTGTAGAAATATTTTATCTTTGTTTTCTTCATAAATTTCTTTTGAGGTATTGATATATAATTAATGCATTATTAATTTCATCATTATCTATTCTTATTATTGATTATTGATAATATATATTATTTATTGTTGAATTATTACTGTTGTTATGTTTGTGTGATATTCTCTTATAAATTTCTTTTTTTTCTTGATCATATTAGAATTGATTTATTTTCAAAATGAAATTAACTAATAATCATACCATTCTTAATTTTTTATTTCAGCGCAATTTTGTGTTTTTTTATGTTACAGGAGAACGCCCTTTTTCATGCCATCTTTGCAGTTATTCCACTGCATATGCTTACGTATTGAAAAAACATATAGAAAATCATCCGGAACAGGATGAGAAGTTTAATTGTGATTCTTGTGATTATTTTACTAACTCATCTCTCGAATTTAAAAGACATGTAAAAACGCATAGTGGAAGATCTATGTTTTGTTGTCACTTTTGTGGCTATATTTCTCTCAATGCAGATCACTTTAAGGTAAGATTATCTAGATATAAGTACAGTCGAGGGTCTATTATCTCCAGGCTAGTTAAAAACTACAGATTATCCAGAGGAAAATAATACCTAGTGGTATAAAAATAAATTAGGGTTATTATAACAAATAAAAATAAAATTTGGTTATATAATATTTCCCAGCAGGAAAAATATAAAATATTTTTGTTTTGTTCAAGCAAGTTATATTATTCTTACAGTATCTTTTTGAAGTTATATTACAAACACAATGCTGGAATCATGTTGTACTGAGCACACCAGCCTGTTTTGGGTACCTGTTGGAAATGTATAAATGAATTTTGCATTTAGTACTTCTCTATGATTATCTCATTCTGTCCTCTTGCCACTTTTACTATTTTCTGTTTTGTAGCTTTTTATTAGCAGCTTGTGATCTAAAACTGCCTTTATAATCTCCTATAACATTTATACTTAATTTTGAAGTTCACTCTTATCCTTCAAATTTCAAATTTGTTTAGCAATAGTAAATATTGTTTCGTATTTTTACCATTAAAATAATGTTAAGTTTTTATATACAATCATTTAATCATAATACATTTTTTGTGAAGAGGCATATTGTTTAAATTCTTGCCTTGTAATAATAAGCTTATTTTAGTAGAGAAAAATAAAAGATCAAACAAGTGTCCTTTTTAGATACTTTAATATTCAATTTACTCATAACACTGACTGACATTGAGGTTTCAGTTTGTTTGGATCTGATTTAACATCAATTAAATCTTGAATTCAAATATGCCATTAGTATTTGCATACTTTTTAAATAAAACATTTTATTACAATTTCCTGAAAGTTAAATTCATGGAGAGACCTTTTTAAAGTTTTTAATTGTTACAAAGAGAAAAAAAGACCCAGAAAGTCTAAAACATTTACATGTAAATAAATAAAATTTATATATTAAATAAATAACTACACAGAGTATTTACTATTACTTTCATATTGTAAAAGGCATACACCAAGGAGGGTGAATATAGCTTTTTTATAATTTTTATTTTGTACATCACCTTTATTATATAAAAAAGTTTTTAATGACTGTCCTATTTTATTTTACGAATAAAAATGAACAGTTGTATAATTTGTAAAATGAGAATTGGTTTATGTTGTGGTTAGGCGGACAAGGGCTACTCTCTAGTTATCAATATTTCAAGGTCTCTGATTTGTCGTTTGATAATAAAGTATATAGAACAAATGTTTTTTTAAATTGAGCTTGTAAAAGAAAATGCATTTGCCCTCATACAACCAAAAGTAGCTTATGGAATTTGATAAAATTGAAATAGAACTATTTGTTCATTAGCCAAATCATATCATAGCCCTCATTGAAATATGGGTGTATTAACGAAAATCACATGTGCAAGTTTTATTTCAGACATATATGGAACTAATTTTGTTCCTTAATGTCTATAATGTAAAATCTGTGTAGAAATTTTCAATTCTGAAGACTTCACATTTTATTCAATTCCTGTGTGAGTACTAATACTAGGATTTCTTATCTTGAGCAGCGTGAATGCAAAATTTTGATAGGCAAATGGATTTATATAGAAAACTAGAGTTCTAGAGAAATATTGATTTTATATTTATATTGAGTACTTGAAAGCATTCAGTGCTTGATGATGACCCACATGTTTGGGTTGAAACGTCGCCACAAATAAAAAATTTTTTTTAATGACTGTGTACTGAATATTTATCACCCATGATATGCAGAACAGTCGACTGGTTTCCTTCAATGATTTTATATTTAGAATCCCAATATTTAGTGCCTAAAATCAATTCTAGAGTTCTAAGAACAAAAAAAATATATTTTTTTTATGCCGATTCACTTCTTGGATTAATTTCTGCTTTAAAATGTTTTAAATGTCTGAGAATGAAAGTTCTTTTTTATAACAAACAAGAGACAGACCTGAGATAATCGGCGCTTTGCTGTACGTGTTTCTAACATTTCATATAACAACTAACAGTTAAGCTAATTTTTTTGTTCAAATTATGTTCCTCCACCTTAAGCATAAATATAAGAAAAATTAATGTGTATGTGTTCATTAATTAAATTTGTTTCAATTCTTTCAAGTATTGCCAAATACTTTTATCCCCTCATTGTGAATATGCAATTTTGGTATCCTCCCAAATAGTTTGAACGCTCTGTTAAGACCATATTTATTTTTATCTTATCTGTAGTTGTTATCTGTAGTACTTCCATTGATTAGGTTTTTTAGGGATCAATTAAGTTTCATTGAATATTATATAAAATTCCGATGAAATCAGTATCAAGGGGTATTTTATTACTCTTATGTTTTTCATTTAATGGCATTTAAATTAGATATATTTTATACTGTGCCTTACTTGTGAAAGAAGTAATTAGTTAATATTATTTATGTTGAATGAAAACATTAAATTTAAATTCAAATGCAGTAAGAATTTAGAAATTCCAATCTAGGTCTTATTCACATTGATATTCAATAACAGGGCTTAAATTACAAAATTTCTTCCTCTAAATTACCTTTAATTTTTTCATTTGAAGTGATTAACCATTTCACATTTTACCCTGCTATAAAAAATAGATAAATATAAACTATGAATGAATTTAATAATTAACTAAAGGAGAAATAAAGTATAATAGTAAATCATAATAGATACCGGAGGAAACCCGAGTGCACACCCGAGCTTGGTTAGAATAAGCTTCCTTATGTAACACGTGTTAAATAAAATACAGGCTCTGGTAATTACGTGGTAAAAGAGAGTTAATTGCGCCTGTTCATAGACCAGTGGTGTGTCTCAGCTTATTTTAACTTCTGTGAAAGACATTTTTAAATCAGTCATACAAACTTTTCCATTGTTTAAAAAGTATGACTCATTCTTTATTCTTCCCGAAGCATGGTTGTCTAGATTTGACCATATATAATTAATATTTCTAACTCTGCCTCATTTTATTTACAGTTTATTCCTGTTATTCCATCATTCCCGTCATCTCATTTTCCCCTCACTTTGACTATGGCTGGTGCGGTTTATGGTGGCCTCTTGATTGTACTCTAGGGCAGATTGAACTAAATCATGATCTGCTCTGAAGATTCTTCTTGAGGTATATCAAGGAGCTCTCATGTGTTCCACCTTTATGATGACTTAAGACCTCTTTCGATTTTATTTTTATTTTGCTGAAGGTTGAGTATGAACTTTATTAGTTTTTGGGCTAGAATATTTTATGTTTATTTGTTATTCTTAAGAGGCCATCATCAAATTCAGAGACCATTATTCCATATTCATCAAAAATTAAGAAGGGTTAGAGAGTTGTTGCTGGGATCTGAGTCCACTCCCGATTCATAAACTGAAGACATACTTTATCTAGCTGCTAGAATAGGTACTGTAAGTTCTCTACCTCCAGATTGTTATAAGGTCCATCTGCTTCAGTATTGTACCATCCTCAGGTGTTACAGGTTTTCTGCTCCAGCAGTATTCTGTCCTCGGGGCCAACCTGTGTGTGTACAGGTCTATTCTGTCCAGCAATAGAGTATTGTTAAAGGGTTAATTGTGTTAATAGAAATTTCCATTGTAAATCTTGTATTTCAGTTTATTTATTCAGAATACAGAAGTACTTTCTCCTCCTCCCCTCCCCTTAATAAGATTTAGTTATAATAAAATGTCTTCTGTTTATTTAATTATTTATTCTAGTTTTTCTATTTATTATTATTTTTCTTAAATTTATTTATCATTAACTACCTTCATTATTTATGGATATTGCATTTTTTAAATGTTTATTAGAATAAAATTATTCCTTGTTATTTTGTTTTTTAGGTCCACTTACGAAGGCATACCCAAGAAGCTCCTTATCAATGTCATCATTGCGATTATAGATCGGCTCAGAGATCTAACCTCAAGAGACATATTCAGACGCACACTGGTGAGCTCCAAGCATCATCAATTTCATCAAAATTTACACAGAAAGAGGTCACTTATTACATTTTTGAGTGCCGACTTTATTGAAGTTGTCCAAACACAACTGGATGTGTCGATTAGTAAAGAGTGATATGATTGTAAATCCATAGAATAAATTCATTTCTATCAAAAATATTGCTCTAAAAGCTCTTTGCTAGTCCTTGGGTGTTTTTGCATAATATTTTAAGTTGAATATATTTTTAAATGTGATATTTGTTCTTTATCTTTGAACATGGAGATTTATGCCTTTTGTTTGTCACTAAAATCTAATTTTAAGTGTTTATATCTACGGTGTTGAATTTATGTATATATTTGTAAAATAAATTTAAGCTTATTTAGATTTAAATAATAGGAATACTTTACTTATAAATTTTTAGAATTATAATTTCATGTTAAATATTTCTTTCAGAAGAAAACAAATGGGGTAAAGATGTTGAAAATAGTAATGGAACACAACATGCTATGCAATCTGATAGTGAGTATTTTTTACTTTGTTCTATATAAATATTTATGTTAAACATGGTTTAACAAATTAATTAATCATGGTTGTTTTTCCCTAGTTTCTGTAATGGACGTGGAATCAAATGAAGTTGTTGACAACTCGCAGACCCTGAGAGAAAATGATATCCCTGAGAATGTTCAAATAATTGATACTACTAATGTTGAAAATGAAGATGTGGAAATTTATGAATCAGAGGAGGGCTATGTAGAGGCAGAATATAGTCCAGATAGAGGTATTCAGATGATTATAACTTCTTATCATTTTAAATTTTGTGCATTTGAAAGATTATTATTTTTTTCGAGATATAAATGTTTTTTTTTTTAAATTTACAATAGTTAAATTTAAAACTGTCAATGTTTTAGGTTCTTAAGATTTGCGAATAAAAAAAAAAAAAAAAACACAAGTACAGATTAATTTATTTCATAAAAACATTAATTAGTTAAACAAAAGAAAAATTTACTTCAGAAATTTAAAATCATTTATTTATGAAAAACCTTTCCAAAAAAAAAAGGGCTGATTGACTTCATATTTGTCGAATGTCCGTGAATGCTGATTAATTTAAATCTTAAAAATTATTATTAACTGTTTTATGCTACTTCTGTCTGGGTCTCTTTATTTGAAAACAAATGTGTTCTGAGTTTGTGACAGGGCTAAAATGAAAATCCTTAACCTACCCAAAACAGGTCAAAATTCTAGATAACTATACAGTTGACAGGAAAAGAAAATTAATATTGCAAGATTTTCAAAAGAGAATTCCTCAATGGACTGCAAATCATTGAGGACAGCTGGCAGCAGGCTAGAAATATCTACAGATTCCATGCAGTTATTAGGAAAGAAAAGTAAGAGATAAAACGAGCATTACTCAAATATGAGGAAAAGATAGTAAATTGACAGCATCAAAAGAAATGATACTATGCATTGAGAAAGAACATTTCCAACTGCTTCTCAATCAAGGAGAACCTACGAATGTAGAAGATATAGACCACACCGAGGATCTGGGCCCACACGAGATTGAAAAACTAGATATATTGGAGGTAGAAATAGCTATTGACAGGCTTAAAATACGAAAAGCCCAGGAATGGACAACCTTCCATCAGAGCTGTTTAAAGGTAGGAGAGAAGATCTAAGTGTAAAGCTATTCCAACTAATCCAGAAAATGTGGTAGGAGGATTGGAACCAAAGGCTTGGAAAACTCCTAATTTAGAGAAAGGAAAGAAAGGCTCCATGTATGAGTGTAGCACACCTATACAGGTATAGCACACCTTCTCATTGTCTAGAAGGTAATGATAATTCAAATGTAATATTAATTGTTAGTTGTAATTACTACTATAAAGTTAAGGAATGGAAAATTCATATATATCATGTGGGCAGAGATTAAATTAATGTCAACTAACCGTTGACGGCAGATGGAATAAACTAGAGGAGATAAAATCAACCATAGCTGTGGAAACTTGGGTGTGTAGAGCCCACAAAAAAAAAAAAATATATGTGGTTTGACAGTGATTGGAAGAAAGTAATAGACAAGAGAAACAGTTTTCGATATAAGAATTTCAGCGATAATTTAGGCAACAGTGTTGGGTGCCTCAATGCAAAGTGAATAGTGAAGAATATCATCGAAGAAAAAGAAGAAAAAAAGTCAAGTACTTCTGGAGTAGTTTATAGTTATTGGAGAGGCTGACAATAAAGGCAACAGCAGATTTATAGGAAAATAGGGACAATGAAGAAAGTCTATACACCTGAATTGACAATGAAATAAATTAATACACAAATATAACCAAAATAAAGCAAATATTACAATATATATATTAGAAAAAAAATGAAGTTTTCCTAATTAAACACACTTAAAACAAAATGGTAATAATAAAGAACAGAACGTATAAATATATGTAAATTAAAACAAAATTCTTCAGATGTGTAATTAATTATTCATAATAATAATTACTTTATAAATATGATTATTATTAATAATCTATTACCATTAATCTAAATTAATTCTTTATAAAAATTGTGAAATTATAAATTATTTAGATTGTTCACCATTATTTAATCATCTATATTTAATTAATTATTTTTTGATAATTATGGCTTTTCAGTCATTTATAAATAATTACTCTGAAATTAGAAGTGTGAAAACTATCTTCATTATCCGTACTATACTAATGCAGTTGTATTTTGAATGCAGATATAGAAGAGGCTGCTAATGTTCTCCCTGAATCAAATATGGAAGTAGTTGGAGAAGAACATGTTATTACTACTCCAACAGAAGGAGATTATGAAGTTTATAAAGATTGTGGTAAGGGTGCTTTATTGAATTTGTTTTCTTTTCATAGCTTATAGATTTTTGTGATAAATCATAATTTTATTTACTTTTATCAGTTATTATGTCTTGTTTTATATTTATATTCTTGTATACCATTAAAGACCATTTAATGGTGCATTTTATCCAAGTTAAATCAAATCCATTTTTTAAGAAAATGGTAAAGATGTGTAAAAACTAGGAATTAGAATTACATTTCCGGTTAGCCGATTCTAAGGAAAAAGTTGCTGTAAGATATACCTAACTCATGTATGTAATTTCAGTTTCGTGCAACTTTTTGTTTTTGAGATAGGCTGTTCATATACCCATTTATTATTTTTCAGCCAATGCCCTTGAGCATTGCATTAAATAGGAGGGGTTTTAAAATATATCTTTGTATCAAACCATCCTTTATTAGAAATAAAAACAGTTCTCATAGGGATTTGAATGCTTATCTGGGCTATTAATGGTTTTCTCTTATGAATTTGTTCGTTACATTTAATGTATGATTTCATATATATTTTTTTTGTTTTTAAGGAAAAATTTACCTCTGTTCTTACTGCTCTTACCAATCTTCCAGTGCTGAGGATATTGAAGCTCACATACAAGAACATGATGGTAATTTAAATTTTAAATTATATTAAATGATTCTTATCATATGGGTAATGTGTCATGACATAAAATATTGATTGGTTTCTATGTTTTTCTTTATTAAAATACTTATTGAATTTTTTTAATTGAGACATATAACTTTCCTTGTTTTACTGTCTCTTCCACGACAATATATGGAAGATATTTTAAACAACATTCAATCCCAATGTGATAATTTTTGTGAGATAAATCTTTAGCTTGTTTTCATTTATATCATTGTATTGTCTTTTCCTGCTGAAAACATTGGGTACGATTTGATTGTAATTGTGGTCCCAAGAAATGAATTTTGACACACACTATGCTTGGAACGGCAACTTCTAATTAACTGTCAGGTGTTGGTAAAATAGCAGTAGTCCCAAGCATTATTAGTAGTAAATAATAGTTGTTTTGTACTGTAAGTGATTAAATGCTTCTTTTATTTGTTTTTTCACTTAACTCTAATTTCACATTTGTTTTATTTGTAGTAGGCTCTCTAGTCAATGGTGTTGAAGCTTCAGAAAATGAAACCTCTGAATCAGACTGTGTTAAGACAAATAATATTAGTTTTCTTAATAAATCACAAACTGAAAAACTGAAAGAGTTCAAACGTCTTTTGCAGGAAGGTAAAACTTTTTTTCATTTTTATCTTTCCTTTCTTTTTTTATTTAATGATTTAATATTTTTTTATTGCAGTTTGTTTTATTTATTCATATTGTTTGCAACTTTATAACAATTTAAATAATTGGTACTCATTGTAATTCACATTAGAAATCTTCCTTGTATGATAACATATTATCTATTGTTTTAATTTTTTCTTTTTGTAAGCCTGTTAGATTTTTTTTTTTTCGTTTTGACAATCAACACATTATTCATATTATTCTTGCTTTTATTTTGGTACTTCCCTTCAATTTCAAGCTGCTGTTGCTATAAATTAGTAAATTAAAACACTATTTATAATTTTGAAGATTTGTTTCAAATCTACAGAGCTATAAAAATTCTAATTTTTTTTTCATTATTTACTTAGTAATAAAATAAATTATATTAGTGTATTCAGGAATGTAAAATAATTTATTCTAAAGATGCCATGAATCGGTTCCTCTGAACTGATGAAAATCTGAATTATTTAATCAAATAATTAAACTTTAAATTTTCTATTAAAATTCTTTAAATTTTAAGATATACTCCTTTTTTATTTTTACTTTTAAATGGTGTCTGTAACATCAGTGATATGAATATTCTTTTTTAAATTCATAGAGTAATAATTATATATTTATTCATTATAGATGTGCATTTGCTCTTTTTGTTTCTATTTATCAATTTTTTTTTTCAGGTACAGGTGGCAGTGTTCAAAATGTGGTCCATGTTACAAAGTTACCTCAACAACAAGTTGAAATTGGAAGAGATGAATATTATCAGCAACCTGTTGAATCTGGTTAATTTATATTATATTTCTTTTTTTTTTTTTTTAATTTATTTAAACTCACATTGGAATATTTTTTAATTGAGTTCATTAATTTAAATAATTATCAAATTTTGAAATTCCATGGTGTAGTTGGGATGAGATTAAAATTGTATTATGAGAATCAACAATCCCAAAAGGACCCTTTTCATAAACCCACCAACAACAGATAATTGTTTCTGTAACTGAATAAGATACTTTAAATGGACTTTTATTATGGATTTTGGTTTTTATTTGTGTTAAATAGATAGAGGGAATAGATCTCCAAAGTAGTTATTAAGAAATTTCTATTGTTCCTTGTTTCTGAGGGTATTTTATCTTAAGTACTGCATTTAATTAAGAGTTTTATGAATACTCAATTCTTGTTAAAATTATTGGTAGTCTCAAGTCCAATCTGTTCACTGTACAAACAGCTTACTCTGTTTGCTATTTACATTAATGATCTTCCCCTCCTGATCCATCACTCCCATTACCATATCTTTGCAGATGATTTCTAAATATATCTGTCCTTCCCGCCTTCCGACCTATTATCAGCAACAGAAAAACTTCAAGAAGACTTGGATAGAATTTGTGACTGGGCGAGAGCTATCAAGTTGAAGTTGAATGCGGAAAAGATGAAGCCCATCTTAATAGGCTCCAATTACCTCCTTAAAACTGTTCCTAATATTCCAACTCTGTTCCTTCACGATAATCCCATTAAACTTTATCTTTCCATCAAAAACCTTGGGATAACCTTTGATTAAACACTTTCCTGGAATAACCATGTATCCAATATCTCCCTCCTTACCATTTCCACCTTAAAACGTCTATATTACTCCTGTCACCTATTTTCCCTTGAAACCCGTAGGCTCCTAGTCACTTCCTTAATTTTTCCTACTTTGACTATTCCTGTACGGTATATGGAAGCGTCTCTGGAGATCTCGAAACGAAACTAAAAAATTTGATAAATTGCTTTGTAAGATTCGTCTTCAGAATCCCAAGGGACGTTTCTGTTTCCGCTTTTATGCAGATTTGAAGTGGCTTTGTCCTTCCTACTGCCGTAAGTATTTCTTGGGATCCTTCCTCTTTAAGTCATCCAATCCCACCCTCCTTCATACATCTCCAAGTTCCTTCAATTCAAATCCTCTGTTCGTTCCCGCAATACTCGTTCCCGGTCTTCTGATTTATACATAAGGCCCCACTGAACTGCTGCTTTAGACAGATCTTTCATTATCCGATCCTCATCCCTTTGGAACTCCATCCCTTCACACATTCGACAATCTAATACCCTTCCTACCTTTTAATCCCACCTGTTCAATCATTTCTTATTCATCCAGTCCCCATAAAATTGTAAATAGGTACTACTGTCGATATGTATATAAATTAGTAGATCGTTCTTCATTATTTTTACTTCATGTTTTTTTAATTTTTATTATTAACTGATTAAAGTTAGAAAGTAATTTTTTATTATGACTATTTAATTACTCAGTATTTTTGTTTATTTATCTCTGAGGCTCCTGATACCATATTTCTATCTTTCTGTATTATTCTAAAGGAACTCGTCCCAGAATAAATAAATTATTATTATTATTATGAGATGAGGAACACTTGAATAAATTACATTGATCTTCAGAAACTTTTTATTTTTTTTATGTAGGCGTTAAACTACTATTCTTTGCCAATGTATTTTAATAAAGTCGAACCGAAGTTGTTGAAAATTCATGGTAGTATTTTTAATGTTATCCATTGATTTTGGTTTCTTAATCTGTGCCACTACTTCCTTTTTCAAACAACTACTAAGCTCCATTATCCTCCAGGCGGAGTAGACTCCATTATGGATCTGATTTCTTTAAATAAAAAAAAGAAAAAAAAATTATGTAATAGAAATAAAGTGTTAATGATATTAATTAATATTGCTTGTAGTTATAAAGATGAATATAGTGCAGGAGTTACGAATAAGAGTTATGAAGTGCAAGAGTTATGAATGTAGTGCACCTAAAGTTACCCAATTTCTAAGGTGTGTAATAAAATAATTTATACAGGGACTGTCGTTGGTAAAAAAAAAAACCTGATCACCGAAGAATATAAAACAGTTTAATATTACATAATAATAATAAAAAAGTACCCCAGATATTATCCGATTATAAATTGTAGTTTTGGTTTTTAGTTGAATTCAGAAATCAACCTTCTCCAGAAGAAGTAACCTTATATGGGGAAGTAGAAGAGAGCAACGAACATGATGGAACAATAGATACCGAATTAAAAGATTCATCAGTTATAATAGGTAACAGTGTTTTTTGTATATTGCCAAATGATTTCAATAGATATAATGTACAGAGTGTCTACTGGACCCAGAAAATCTTGAAAAATTAAGGATTTTTTTAAATCTGGGAAGGTCAGAGGATTTTTTTAAATCTGGAAAGGTCAGAGGATTTTATGAAAAATATTGTAAGCCATGGATAATGTTCCTCCATCACAACTATTTATATCCCGTCTTATTACAAATATTTTCAATAACCTGAAATATTTTTAATCATGGTTTGGAAAAGTTAGTGAGTGCTAATAAAAGTCTTCTGTAAACATCCTGAATGCTGCTAATTAATAATTTAAAAATTGCAATACAGAGATATATTATTAATTAATGAGTGAGGACTGCTCCAATCCAAAGTTAGTTTCTATACTAGGGCATATATTATAACCATTACGTTTAATGATAAGCATTTAATGAGGATAAAAAAAAATGCTGAAACTAGTAACGAGAATGATGTGTCAATAATTAAAAGTTTATTGGATCTTCATAAAATGTATGGACCTTGAATAAATTTTCGCTTTTTTTCTAATAGATTCTCAAGTGAGCATTAGCAACAGTTTGAACGTGGTCTGTGAGGGTTGTCTTTTTTTTTTTTTTTTTTTACTATAATAGGTTTGCAAACCAAAAACATTCTTGCTGCGTTCATCGAAATATATTAAGGTATCAAATCTTATAAACAAACAACAATCATTTTCTCATTTAAATTTAAGTTATTATTATTTTTTGACTTTGTTTGTATCATTGGTTTATTGCAAAAAAGTCATTAAGTGACATTTTGTAACCTTAATTGTTAAGAATATTTCCTTTGTGAAATTACAAAATTGTGCACTTGAACTATATTTGATATATTAAAGGGTTTATTTTATTTTCATGCTCTTACGGTGCTTTTTTATTGTTAAATAAAGTTGAAATTCACATAAAACATATTTTAAAGTTAACCTATATCAAAAATGCACTTAGTGACTTTCTGCATTAAACTGACAATATAATTTCATCTATCATTTTAGTAATATAATTTTTGTATTCTGATTGTAGTTGGTACTCCTGAAGAACTGAAACAAACAACAAATGAATGCGAACTATGTGGTTTTCATGCAAGAACTATTTGGGAACTTAAATCTCATATAAGAGTTCATACTGGTGAAATGTCATTTGTTTGTCCTCAATGTCCCTTTAAAACGAATCAGAAATATAGTTTCCAAAGGTGTGTATCTTATGTAATTTCTAAAATAAGGAACCTCATTGTGTATATTAAGTTCATGCGATGTGTTTCGAAGTGCATTTGCTTCTAAAAAAAAAAAAAATTGACATAGAATTTGATCCCAAATGTTGAATTTCTAAATCAGAGAGTTATTCGTATATATTATATAAATTATTTTCAATTTAAATGCATAATATATTTTTTTCTAACACGAAATACCTGTAAAAAAAAAAGAAGCTGTTTGATTTAAAATTAGAATTTTACTTTAATGACTAGAATGTGATTGAGTATGATCAAGAGTGTAGCCAACTTGACTAACATTGTTCCAAAGGGGGGAGGAGTAGTTTTTCAAATTTATTTATTTCAAGTTGAGTAGAATAAACCTGAGTTATAGTTTCCAGAAAACCAATCAGGGACTAATTACCTCTGTTTAAATTCACACATATTTATTAAGATGACAAATAATTAAAACCTGAGCTGGTGAAGTTTATTTTTTCAGAATATAAATAAAAATAAATATGTCTAAGGATTTATCCTTAATATTTCCTGAGTACGTAAGTAAGTAAGTATTATTATAAATGAACTGACACTGACACTTACTGGCTCATTATGATTTAATATTTATGAAATTGTTGTTTGATTGTTCATTTTAAAATATCGTGGTTATAATAAATAATATTTTGATTTTAGGCATGTTAGACACCTGCATGGTTGGAGAGGAAATAGACTTCCTTATCAATGCAAATTATGTGATTTTAGGACAAAAAATAGAGAAAATCTTGTAAAACATACTCAAAATCATTCCAAGAAGACACCATCTATTGACTGTAATGTATGTATTTGTATTATTCTATGTGAACTGTACATGTTTTGTAAATTGCTAACTTAGCTAGATTATTATTCATTGCTTTAGCCATTGCTCATTTCGTAGTATAATTGAGGAAAATCATATTTAAGACTAACGTATGTTGTTTGGTTTTGTTTCTTGACCAAATTCTTAATGGTATTCATTTACATTCTTAAATTAAGTGAGATAAAAATTATTTAATTACAGATATGCGAGCAAACATTGGGATCTATTGCAGAATTGAAAAGCCATATGAAAATACATGTCGGTGAAGCACCTTATGAATGTTTCTATTGTGGAAAGCTGACGGCTCGTAAACTTCATATGAGAAGACATATGAAAAAGCATATCTGTAAGTTAATTATTCAAAGAATTATAATTTCAGTTGAAGTTATTGATGTCATCCTTATAATAATTGTAAGAATAGTTGGTTGAATTCAAACACTTTATTGTTTTATTATTATACCATTAATTTACTATACTTTTATATCCTTAGTTTAAAGAAGTAAAAACGAAAACAAATGTCCTTAAAATGGAAACAATTCCTTACCCACTTCCATCCACTCAATAAATTATGATAATTTTATGTAATTATTGCTGGGAATCACTCTTTTCTTCTAGCCAACGTTTTAAAAAGTATATATTCTAATTCTAACTAGCTGAATTGTTTATTAGTTATACATTTATGATAATGGTATATGACTTTAATTCAGCATTTTAATTGCAGTATAATAAGCATACTTGGATTTATTTGTTATGTATAATTTAGTATTTTTGGCTGGAGATATTGTATAAGTAGATTAATGGATGCTGGTAAAAAAAAGTTTTTTTTATTAGATATAGGAGGATGAAACAAAATACAGTAAAACTTCTTCATAGTGGACAACTCTGGGGAATTAACTTTGTCTGCTATAGAGAGATATCCATTGTAGGGAAACTGGAAGGAAAATAACATTTTTGTTTTTAAATTTTTATTTCAATATATTTTTTATTAGAAATTGTATATTTTTTATAATTAGTACCCAAATGAGTATTGTTAAAAGTACACCTATACAATGTAACTTGTATACAAAAAACAAAATTAAAAATTCAAGTTGTTTAGAATACCGTGATTTTGGTTTGAATTTTTGTTGCATTACTGTTCCGTTTTTATAATTGAACAAAAGATTAAAATTGTAACCCTTATTGTTATCTGAAGTTCCAATATATATAATTCAATTAAACTATTATAAATATAATTATAGTTTTATATAATGTGAGCCTTATTGGTTTCTTGTTATCAGTTATGAAGAAAACTTTTCAAACAAAATTCTTGCCTTTCTGCATTTGTTTTAGAGAGTGCCTGTTATTTGTAAGTCCTTAATACTATAAAATGAACATTTGACGACTTTAATAAATTTTTGCAATATAAAGAATTGTTTACTGAGAGAAGTTAGACTGTATAAGGATTGAAGTAGGAATAGTGATGACAATTTCAAGGTTATAGATATTGTGGGAACTTCTTCTTATTCTTATCCACTACGTCACATTGATCTTTTGTAAGATAGTCCTCTGTTCTAGAGATCTCATTGGAATCTATATGATTCCAGTGAGAAGTATATCTTCTCACAAGTTAAAATAAATCAGAATTAGATCCAAGCATTACATAAAGAAAATTTTGTAGAATAAAAGAAGTTGTGTAGTATAATTTATCCATATAAAGATGGTTTGATTTTAGAATTTGGAAGGCTTACTTTATTAGATCTTTTTTCAATTAACAGAAAATTATGATTTTCTTTATCCATGCAGGTATAAGATATTTGATTTGAATATTATTTATGTTTTTTAAAAAACATCTAAAGTGGGTACTCTTAATTAAATAATTAATTAAGGGGAAAAACCTGGTGGTTGATGGTGGATCTCAGGCCCGATCACCTCCCTGCACAACCGTTGGCCTTGTATCAGTACTTCCTTATAAAGTTTTTTTTATATTAACTACTTAGTATATGTTTAATTAGTTTTAATTTTTTTCCCCCAAGGTACAATGGAAGGAAAAGGACCACCTTACGATTGTGATTCATGTGGTTACCAAACGGTTTTTGAAGCAAATTACTTAAGACATTTAGAAACACACGAATTGGATCCTTCTCGAGCTTTCATATGCCATTATTGCCGATTTGTCACATTAGATAATAAAGTGTTTAAGAAGCATCTTACAGATCATAAAAATCCAGGTACATTATATTTTATTTTTACTAATGACTTTTTTATTATTTTCTATTTCTTTCCACATTTAATATTACTATTTTATTCTCTTTTGTTTAACCGTCCATCATACTCTAAGCCTCTTACATAATCATAGGATAATTGCCATATTTTGGATGACATGCAAAATTTGTTCTGTTTCACTCTTCCAACGATGCTAAATAATAGTTTTATTTGTTAGAATTATTGAATTGTCATTTTGTCTAGGAATAAAATGAAAACATTTACAGATTTATTTAAAACAAGTTAAAGCATTAAACACAACTTTAATTAATTTTTCAAAAAGTTAATGAACTTTAAGAACATTGATTTAATTATAAATACAAACTTTCAACAAATATAAAGTATGACAGTTCTGTACACTAAATAATTTTGGCTTGTCAAGCTGAAATAAAATTTTCCAAATTATTTCCTAAGGAAATTTCATTTGGTTTATTTTATAGATTCTCAAAATGTATAGTCAAGTTTTTTACTGTAATTAATGATTTCTTTAGACATTTCGATTGATTAATTGGTGTTATCATTGTAATATCCAGATCATGATAATTGACATGGCTTTTCTGTTGGACTTGTATATTTTTTGTATCTCTTTTTTTTAAACAACTGACAGTTATTATTATTTTTTAAATCAGATAACCTTTATCTTTCTTCTTAAATAATTTAATTTTCCCAACGAAATATTTGTTAAGCAATGTTGAGTTTGTATGAATAATACAAAATTCATTTAATCTCGAATTGAATCAATTTTTGACTAGACAAAGTAAAATGGGAACAGTAAAATGGGCACAGTATGTCAGTAAAATGGGAATCAATTATTGCCTGTATACACTATGCAATGAAGTACAAAACATATATGTTAATAAGATTTTTATTTTTGAACCATAACTTAATTTTAAAATGCTCCAGCATCGCCATTTCAAATTATTATTATTTAGCAATTTTAAACAATTATTTTTTATTGATTGTTTTGAATTTTTTTAGGTTCTGGAGAATTAGATAGTTTCGTGATCGCAGAAGAAACAGAGAGTGGTAACCTACCTTATTTCAATGATTACTTTTTCTTAGATTTTTTTAATGAATTAATAAATAATTATGACTGACATATTTTCTTTATTTTATTTACAGATTCCGTGAATAATAATGATACTGATGATGCTAGCAAACATAAAAGGTACTATTAGAAGTTTAACATATTGACATTATTATTTTTTGTATTAAATTACATGTGTTGTTTCATTTTCAAACATTACCTAAAAGATTTCTTCCGTAATAGAAATAATTTTGGTGTCGGTTTTTAAAGAAAGAACATTCCACTAAAAATATATTTTAATTAGTTTATTTATTTATAATTTACATATTTTTTTTTTTTTTTAGGAAACCTTTGCGTGAGCAAAATAAATCTTATGATGATGCTTCAGAAAAATATGATAAAACCTACACTCCTTCAATGAAGCTAGATAAAATTAAAAATATAGATACCACAAGTTCAAGTAAGTCGAAATATAAATCTAAAAGATCTTCAAATTCCACTATCATAAAAAAAAGGGAATATATCAGACGTGCTGGGAATATTTCTGAATCGGAGTTGAGGATTAGGCGGAGATTGGATTTTGGTATTAAAAAAGTTCCTAAAGATCCGAAAGAAGGTTTTACTATTGAAATATGTGGTGAAATCTTGAAATCAAAACGTCAGTTAAGGGACTTTTCTGATTATGGGAAGTTAATCAAAAGATCCGACTTAGATCTTTCTACCGTGTTAGAAAAAGAGTCTCATATAGAAAATATGTTTGTACCATTAAGAGAAAGTATTCATGCCTTAAAAGAGCTAAAGAATAATAGTGAAGATAACGTAGTGACTTTCACGATCTATTTTAAAACTAAAGATGAACCAGACCTTATTGACATTAGTGATAATTTGACTGACATTGAAGCAGAATTGTTGTCTGACCCTAATGACACTGACATTGATTCTGTTAAGTCGGATGATGAACTATCAACACCAACAGATTTGTTGGATGGTGATAAAAATGGTTTTTTGGATGAAGTGAAAACATCTAGAAAGGAATTGAATCACAATGATAATGGCGTTTCATCAAAACAGAACTCTAATAGAAAAAAGTTGCCTTTAAGTTCTGGTATCGATACAATAAAGTTCTTTCAAAATAAAATTAAGGAACGGAATGAGAAAATGAAACAAATGAGGAGGCTTAAAGTTTTAAGAAATGCAATTAACTGGAATAAAAATGGTACAAAATCAGAATCAATCAATTCAAAAAATTGTGTTCAAGTTGAGTATTCATATAGTGACAATGTGGAGATGGAAGAAGTAGTAGTTGACCACAATATTGATGCATTGCCTAGTCTTGTGTCGTAAGCTTCAACATTGTAAACTCAATTTAATCGGTTTGCCTTTCGAACCCAGTGTTTTATATTGTACAGCTAGTATTTTTATATTGTAAATAATGTCATATTTGTATTTTTCTTATTTAATTGTAAATATTTATTAACTAAGCATTTTGGATGCTTAGATAATTTTTATAGAAAATATGAAATTGAAAAAAAAATTGAATAAAAAAAATAACCACCAAAAGATCACTGTATTATAAAATTGTATGAAGTTAAATATTTTTTTAATTTATATATTTCTGGATAATTTTATTTCTTTTTATCATTGTTCATTTCTTAATTAGGTCAAAGAATTATTTTTTTGAAATGATTATTAAACCTGAAATTGTGTCATACAAAAATAAAGCAATTTTATGTGATGTCTTATTGATACTAGTCACTTTATTTAAGCCTTTTCTGTTTATATCCAGTCTATTGAATAACAGAACATTGATTATCTTATAATTATTTATTGTTACCATTTTGTAGATCATGTGGAACAATTTTGTTATTAATGCATTTCAGTTTCAAATTTATATGCCCTTGTATAGTTCAGAAGGAAAGGCTAACATAAATGTTCATTGAAATTTAAGAAAAATATAAGTTCCTGGAAGGATACATACCTTGAATATTAATTGTAGAAGTCTTATTTGCTTTATAATTAAACTCATTTTTATATATTTTGTAATTTTTTTTTAAACACAGCTATTGTTATGTTGGTGCCCATATATTAATAAATATTTTCCTTTGTGAATGAATCAAGATTTCTTATTTATGAACATTTTTTGAAACATTGTCCTAAAATATTTTTGTTAATATGGTTTGCACTTAGAGCTTCTTGAATAGGATGTACGTATAACTATTCGGTTGGATTTATCCTGACTACTTTTCATTTATAATTTAATCATTGATATTACTCAGTAGTGTAATGATCATTAGTTTTGGAAATTATTTTAAATAGAAAAATTTTATTTGAATTAGCAGTTCGTGTATTTATTTTGTTATTAAAATGTCACCGTTTCACTTTATAATTTATATCAAAAAACAAAACAATGTATAAGCCCCTATAACTCATATTGTTAAATTATACATTTTAAACATAATTTTTGGATTTTTGCTTATATCTTGAAAACAGTGCATCACAGGAGAAATTTTTTGTATAGTAAATTAATATTATAATAAGGCTTAACAAACCTGAAGGTTCGATGCCGAAACCACCAATCGATGTCCATATTCTTCCATCCACCAGGCTCCGTCTAAACCCAATCCCGCCAAATTAGCCTTAACACAATCTTCCCACCTTTGTCTTGGTCTACCCCTCGGACACTTGCCAGTCGGTACAGCGCATATTATTTTTTTAGTAATTCTTTTGTTACTAAGCCCAGCAACTTTACATGCCCATTTTATTCGCCTCAATTTAATCTCCTCAATTATATTAACCGTATACAGTTCACTCAATTCAGCGTTGTGTAACTGTCTAAATTCTCCGGTTGACTCATCCTTTTTCGGTCTGAATATTCTGCGCAATACTTTATTTTTAAAAACTTTCAAGGCTTCAATAAGTAAATTAAAGTTTATAAAATTATCTAAAACTTTTATTCTGTAAGTTTTATCCGAATTCTAAACCGTTTTCGAGCTACACGTCTGAAAAATATGACATTCGAAAAAAAATATTTTTTTCTCAATTTTCATTTTTCCTTCATATCGTCTAAGATATTTATCAGAGAAAGAAATTAACTTAAAATATGTTGAGACTTACATTCCCCATTAGAATATATACGTATGCAAATTAATCTCTAATCAGTCAACAGTTACAGCTATTTTAAAATTGTTCGTAAAATGTCATTTTCAGAAAAAGTTGTTTTTATCATATTCTTGACCCTCAACTTTTGTTCGTTTGTCTAATAATATGTGTGGCCACACTTTAAATCCAATTATTAAATAAAGTAGAATAAAATCATGTTAATTGAAAAATTAATGTTGTATTTTACAGATAATAAAACTCATGATAATTTTATTCTATTTTGTTATATTAAATACATACAATTATAAACCTCATTGTTATTACTGTTTTCAATAACTTATGAATATTACACTTACAAATTTAGATGGATTCATGTTTTCATTCACTTTAGACGTGCCGGTTTTAGCAATAAATTACAATTATTTATTAAAAAAAAAGCGAATGGTCCTACAAAAATAGTGAACACACTGTCCCAACATGGCAGATTGAAAACTTTGACTTGTGTTAGTTTTTCAGTCATTGAGATTCAACATTTAGTTTAATTTGGTCATAGTTGGCATTATACTAAAGCTGAATAGTCAGAGAATAATATAGCATGAATAAATATTGAAATATAATTGGTTATGCAATAAAAACCAGATTAAAGTCAATTTATTCAAAGGAATGTTGAAAATCAAGTGTTCTTTGTAAATAACTGCCCACAATAACAAACAGTGGCTTGAAATAAAAACCTGGACAATACATTTATCTGTCTAAACTAGTGATTAATTTTTATAATATTTGAAACATTTCATTAGAAAATTCACATAATCGGCGAAAAAAGAGGTTCCTTCTGTCTTCTTCCTGAGAACTCATAATTGGTGGCATAGTTATAGGGTTTTAATATAGTTTTTGGTATAAATTTTGTTCGTTTCTCTAATAATATGCGAAGACACACTTTAAAATCCAGTTATTAAATAAAGTGGAAATAAAATAAATTTTAATTAACACCATATTTGAGACGTACTGGAATTAATCCATTAACCTTGTCATGAAAAGGGAAGGGGGCCTATGTTGCATGAATGGGGTGGGGATAGAAGATTTCTTTTTGGAATGTGGCAGAAGAAAAATTCAAGTTTTTAACCTCTGTGCCTGATCACTTTGGCAAGCAGAAGACTGACATTGAAATAAAAAAATATTTAACAAACATTTACATCAAATGCATACAAAAATTGTAAATGAACTGAATAGAATTTTCGAAACTTGAAACCATTAAGCTAATTTTCATGTTTAAGTCTTCAATAACCTCCCATAAGAGTTAGTGAATTTATTTAAGTTATTATTTTGAAGGAGTAGGATATAGGAATGGCTATAAATAATAAGAAATAGAAATCCTATGTTGATTTATGTGAAAAACCAATTGATCGAATAATTGAGCTAGAACACAGACGGATCTACGGGGGAGAGAGGGAGGGGGGGGAGAAGGAAGGCTTTCGGGGTGAAGCCTCCCCTCCCCTAAAATGATGAAATGTAACCATATTTTTTCGAGAAAAATATATAATATAAAAAAATTATCTCTTAAAGTATTATTGTTTGTGTAATTAAATTTAATAATCACTTAAACACCATTTCATATAGGTTGTTAGTATCTTTCTTTTTTTTTCTAAAATAATTATCGTATGTATGTATGTATATATATATATATATATATATATATATATATAATATATATATATATATATATATATATATATATATATATATATATGAAAAAAAAGCTGAAGCCCACACCCCAACAAATTAAATCCTGAATCCGCTAGTGAGCTAGAATGACCTGAGTCATTTATTGCGTTCGATCTTATTCCTAGTTAATGAAATCTGTTGCTATAGTGCCCTCCATCAGTTTCCACTGGTTTCAAATAACAGTGATGCTACTGAGAGAGAAGCACTGGGATCTCCTTGAGTCCTGCCTTGGCTTCCACGTCGGGGAATAAGGCATGACTAAGAGTCCCCTGGGTGAATGTAAATATTGTACATAGGTGTGAATGTGATTTATTTACTTTAATTTCATCTAGCTTTTATCTATTATTTCATTATTTTTTTTTGTACACAGGCATACCAATTTACTTATTTTATTTTTTATTTTTATATTTCTTTCTCTTTATTATTGATATTAATTGTATGTACATATTGTGTGAATGAATCATGTAGCCTTAATATTAATGCCCTTCAATGTGGCAGAATGTATTAATATTCAATAAAAAAAAAATAAAGTTAATCAAAAAAGCAAAAAAAAAAAAGGCTTACTGTACCTATCAAAACTCTCCTTGACTCATAAATTTAATTTAAGTGAAGAAAAAAAAGTTGTTAAAAATAAATTCTGCGATCACTGTGGAGAAGATCCAAAATCTTTGAAAATATAATAAGGAACTGATGAAAGCAATATTTGGGGAAAGAAATATATAATAGACAGATGAAGAGAGTAGTACTAATGAACTATACCATTTATGAGAACGGAATGAGGTGACTGAGGACTGTAGGCACCTTTGCCAGTGCCGTTTTTTCGTTGATTTTGTGCATTTTCGAAAGAACCATTTCAAATAAGTCAAAAATTAACCAATGATTAAGAAAGATAAACGTATTCTCTAGATGTTTTATTTCAAGGCGTTTTTCGTTATTGTTAGCCGTTTACAAATGACGCTTGATTTTCAACCTAAGTTTGACGACTAGAAAAAATTGACTTTACTGGTACTTTTTATCGCCAAGGCCAATTATTTTTAAAAATATTTTGATGTTTTACTATTTCCTGACCATTCAGATTTAATAAAAGATCAATTTTGACGAAATTAAGCCAACTGCTGAATCTCAGAGATCGAAAAACTAACTGAAGTCAAAGTCGCCAATCCCTCATGTTTGGACGCTATTTTGGACAGTGCGGCCATTTTTTTTGTGGGAACATTGGCATTTTTTTAATACATAGTTACAGAGATGACAACGATAAGAAATATATAGTGATGTGGAGGGAGGGACTACGCTCTCCCACCAAACCTTTTCATCCCGCCATCATCCCTTCTTCAAAATAGTAAAATGGATAAATATCTACTTCACTGATTTATATCAGACAGGTTATTGAAGATAAAAGACAATTCCATATGATCAAACATGATAAATAATTTAAATGGAAAATAAAATTTTCCAAATTTTGTAAATCTATAAATCATAAAATTGTATTGATTTACCTAGCCTGTCCAGGTCTTAAGTAATTG